GATGGGGCTATGTCTTTAGTAGAACATAAAGCAAGGTGTGGAGGAGTCTTACGGGACATGAAGGTTACTGGATAGTGGGCTTTTGTCATATACTAGGAGAGTGCAATGCCTATGAAGCGAAAGAATTGGCTGTACTAAAAAGTCTTAGACTAGTTTGGGATTTTGGCTTCAAGAAAGTACAGCTGGAATCGGATTGCAAGGAATTGGTTGACCAAATCAATGCATCTGTGGTTTGTTTCATGGGAAGTAATGTCCTTGTTGAGATAATCAATATGATCCAATGGAGTTGGGAAATCAAGGTTTTTTTTTTTTAAGTAGGAACAAAACCAAGTGGCAGACAGACTTGCTAAGGAAGGAATTCATTCTTCTTCTTTGTTTGAAGTTGTTCCTATGTTTTTAAGGAGTTTAGTCTCTTTGGATAGCTTGGGATTTCAATCCCAATTGGCTTTTAATATATAGGGTATATCCCTCTCTTCTACCAAAAAAAAAAATTGAGTTACTGATAATTTTATGAGTGATATATTAATGGATTTTGTTTCCATGGTTGTTACTTCTTGTTTCTTATTTTATTGGCAAATTATCAATGTGATGTTTGTTTTGATGGATTTGAATTCACATTTTGTATTTAAAATTATGTATTTAAAATTTATTTATTCAAACGGTGTAAAAAAATAAAATAAACAAATTGAGATTCAAAACAAAAACAAAAGCTTGAAATTGACAAGTTTATTTTTATTCTTCAATTCATAATGAATCAATGAGAATGAGGTTGAGTGAAGAGATGAGAATGATAGAGACACTGATAATAAAAACATGTAATGATCAAGAGAATTGGAGTAACTAAAATTTCAAAAAACAAAAAACACTAGGTGCATATGGAAATTGAAATTATAAAAGATGAATTTAGATTTGAATCTCCTAAAATTTATATGTATTCAAATGAAAATTTTGACCTAAATCCAAATCCTAATTCTCATTAATCCAAATACAGCATGAATTACTACAATTACATTATTACAAAGTTACAGCTAAAATCACAATATTCTACTATGACCCTAGTTTCCTTCTCACTTTGCTTTCATATTACAGTATTAATTATCAGCTTAGTATTGCAATCAACAACTCGGAAAGAAATAACATGAAAAAGAAAAGAGATACATTTAAGAGGGGAGAATCTATTTTAATCTCTCTCTTTGTAGGAAATGGTTCTCACACGTAACTTACTCATTGTCTCCCTGCCTAGAAATTTGCAAAGAATATTCTTCAAATGAAAACCACAACTAGACAAAATGAACCATATACAATATCCACCTTATTTCACCTGTCAAACATCATATATAACAAGTTCCTGTTTGGATTTGACGTCCACAACAAGCTATACTTTACTGGATTTTACATTCCTAGATAGAAACTTTAGTATGCTCAGGAGAATAAATAATAACAAACAAAAAGGTGTCCTTGTTAATTATTATTACGCTCTTCGACTAAGTATGAACCTTTTAGCTGTATTGGAACTGAGACAGATCATCATATTCATAACTGTGATTTCATCCAGCAGTTTAGGCAACGTCTACCTGCACAAACCCAGATTCTGAGTCATTACAGCAGTTAGCACTGCTTTCAATTCGAATCTGTATCATGGGGTTTCTTCCTCTTGTTTCTAAATACATTGCTTTTATACTTCTTGCTGCACTGGACATAATTGCCGTATCTCAGGAAGGTCCTATTAGTGATCTTGCAGAGATAGAAGCCCTTCATGCTATATTGAACATTTTCAAAGATCCTACTCTGATTAGTAACTGGACTGACGAGCCCTGTGACGGTGATCAAGCAAGTTGCATAGGGATTCAGTGCTCCGATGGTTATGTCAGCGGTATAGTATTGGAAAGTAGGGGGTTAGAGGGAGAACTCATATTTGGTGACCCTGCATTTGCGTTCCTTCAACACTCATCTGTCATAAGCTTCAAGAACAATTCTCTAAGGGGAAATATGATGGACTTGAGTCTTGACCCACAATCCCCAAATGAATTACATTGATCTGTCTAGCAATGAGCTTGATGGGTCTATTTCTTCATCCTTTCTGAGTCTCAACCTCCTTGACACCTTGTTGCTGCAGAACAATAGGCTCACAGGTAATGTCCCAGCGTTTCAACAGACAAGTTTGAAGACATTCAACGTATCGAACAACAATCTTGAAGGCAGTATCCCCAAAACTTCAACTCTTCAATCATTTGGCTCTGATTCATACTCTGGAAATCCTAGATTATGTGGTCCACCTTCTGTCAATCCCTGCACTGTTAATTCTTCTGCTCCAGCACCTCAAAATGATCCAAACAACAGCAATTCCCAACATAAATATCTTAATAAAAGTCAGTCACTCTCTTCTATTAATTGTCAGCGTACTTCTTTTGCTTTTAGTAGCATTGCTATTGATGCTCAATTAAGAATTTGAATTTAAAATCTTATATTTGAAATGTAGATTCTAAATTCTTTGATATAAAAAATTTTACATTACAATATTAAAATTTTTTGTTTGGATCTAAAGTAAAATTTTAAATTTTAAAATCTATATTTAAATTTAAAGGAAATTTGAAAGATTGGTTAAACTTGACGATTCAAATGACCAATTTTTAATGGAATCAAACAAACAAAGTTGAATGGGATTGTGGCAACGGTAACGATCAGGACGGGACCTCTGACTTCCATCGAGACCGGACCATCTCGACGATGGGGATGGGACCCCCAGTCGACTTCCCCCAGGATCGACTTGACGAGGACCGGACGAAAGGAGATGATTGGGATTGGATGGCTAACTTCCACCTAGACCGAACCAACAATGATGCCGGCGACCGAACAACTAACTTTCATGGGATCGAATTGACAAGGACCGAACTGCCGACTTCAACTGGGACCAGACCAACTGCAACGATAGGGACTAGACAGTCGACTTCCAATGGGACCGAACTGATGAGGATCGGACAGCTGACCTCCACCGGGACCAAACTAACGGCGATGACGGGTGACCGGACAGCCGACTTCCACCAAAACCAAACCAATAGGGACCGGATGACCGTCTACCACTGGGACCAGACTGATGGCGACCACGAGGACCGAACGCCCGACTTCCACCGGAACCAAACTGACAAGGACTGAACTACCGACTCCATCTGGAATCGGACTGACAATGACTAGACGGTCGACTTTTACCAAGACCAGACCAAAGACAATGGAGACTGGACGGCTGACTTTCATAATTTTCTTGCACAAGTTTAGATCTATAATTTTCTTGTTTCAACAAGTTTCTATCAGCAAATTTTTTTTACTTTTAGAGAGCTTAGGAGATTCTTAATTTCTTATTGATGGAGGGTCAAGAAGGATTAATACTGTATTCAAGAGAAGCCTAGTTCATCAAAGCCACTTGTTCTGCTTAACCTTCTAGTTTCGACGACTATGCCGGCCAAACAACTGGGAGGAGGAATACTGAGAATGGTATTATAGAGTAATGCGAGTAGTAATAATTATACTGCTCTAGCGAAATCTTGCTGTTGTTTTACTATGTTATCGACGTACGCTTCTCCGGACCCTAATGCAACACGAAGAAGCAAGGCTATGCAATAAAATGCAAGCCTTCCAATTTGGACATGGAAGTTTTGAGATTCATGCGTAAGCTTGTGGCTATCAAGAACAATATTTGCTGCTTGTTTTTCATGCTATTGATGATCAATGTGATTCAAATCATATTGAGATTGCTGCTTTTCTTTTTTTTCTTTAAGGGTAAAAATATCATTTTATTTTAAAATATTAACAGTTAGGTTTCTTATAACTTAAAAGGGATTATCACATTTGATGATATTAAATTATTATTATTTTTATTTTAAAAAGATTTATTTATTATTTTTTATTATAAAAATATGGGTAAGGGAAGACTTTGCCATTGTTGTTTGCTGATTTGCTCCTCCAAAACAATAGTGATAAAAAAAAAACGGCTTGCCGGTTTTTGTTCCCCCCACCCCAAACCATGTTGCCGTATAAAGGGTGAAAAAATTAGAGTTGACTACTTTTTATTTTCTATTTCTCCACCTTTTTTTTTTTTTTATCTCAACCATTAAATTTCTTTTTAAGTTGTTTAAATTTAATATTATATAAAATTAATTTTTTAATTTTTTAATTATAATCTTAAATTTTGAATTATAGTTTAGATTAAATTAATTGTATCCTAAATTTATTTATTTATGTTTCATAACTTTAATATTTTAATCATAATTAAAAAATAAAAAAATTAATTTTATAAAATATTAAATCTTAACCATTCAAAAATAAATCTAATAGTTGAGATGAGAAATGAAGAGGAAGGGGAAAGAGTGAAAATGAAGAGAAGCGAACCTCAGAAAAACCTATGATCAAACTGGAGTTGGCTTCCCAGAGGAGATGCATAATCTGGACAATCCAAAATTAATACTTTTTATTTTAAATTTTTTAAAATAAAAAATTATATAAATTTTTAATTTTTTTTAATAAATTTTTTGATCTGTCTGTATAGTCCAGATTTAATTTAAATGATTCATATTTAATATCAAATATTTTATAAATTGACTTTTCAAATATATTTAATATTAAAAAATTTGATAAATTTGTTCACATGTCTGTATAGTTCAGATTTAATATAAATTATTTATATTTAATATCAAATATTTTATAAATTAATTTTTAGATATATTTGAAAAATTTTAATAAATTTATTTACCTATCCGTACAGTTCAGATTTAATATAAATTACCCATATTTATATCAAATATTTTATAAATTAACTTTTCAGAATTCAATATTAATTTTTTTATAATTTTTATAAATTAAATATAAACTATTTATATGGAATCTAGATTATCCTAAACAGATTTATTAAAATTTATGTATTTTTTTATTTTAAAATATATAAAATAAAAAAAAATAAAAAATATTAATAAGGGGGTGAGAGGAGGGTAGGAGGAGGGGATAGCAGGAGCAGAGGCCGAGTCCGACCAAACCAGCAAGACTATTTTCCATCCAGCAATAGCAACACACTCAACCTGATCTCTCTCTGTCTGTGTCAGCTTTTCCAACATTCCTCGTCCACAGTGAAAATTACCCCAATGGCCTATTATCCATCCAGCAATTCCTAATTTTTGATCTCTCTTCTTCCCTTTTAAAAAAGAGGGCTTGATTCAAGGACAAGACTAAGATGAGGAAGAAGCAGCGGCGAGGCGGGAATAAGAAAAAGATGACTAATGAGCAGAGCCTGGCTTTCAAATCTGTAAGGGAATGGGTTTTCTTGAATCGGCCCTCTTCTTCTGCTGCTTCCTGTGCCGTGGATGATTTTGGGGTGCAGAAGAGTCTGGGAAGAGGTGGGGACAAGGTAGTGTTTGAATTGCATTCACATTCGAAATTCAGCGATGGGTTCTTGTCCCCTTCCAAGTTGGTTGAGAGAGCTCATAGGAACGGGGTATGTTTCATTTGTTCTTTTATGTCTGAATATGACTTCAGCACCAACGTTGCTGCTCAAGTATAATGTTGTTCCAATTTAGGAAATGATATACAATCTTTTCAGGATCAAATCTTAGTGAAACCGAGATAACCTTTTGAGTACTGAATTGATTTGAGAATCTACAAGGGGACCAGTAAATTGGATGTCTTTTGAAAAGGATTTGAGCTTGTGGAAAACATTTTCATGGTGCATGCACATATCTAAAAGAAAGGAAATCAAAGTACCTTCATGTTTCCATTGGTTTGTGAATAACATTTCATTAAAATCTTGGAATCTTCTTTGCTTGTAAGATATGCTCGACAGAATCCAAGACAGTGGCATTCACCTTCTCGGTGACGATGCTTGAAAGCATATTTACTTCTTAGAATACCAAACATTAACCTATTTTACTGTTGTAGTATTATGATATGGATTGCTAAGCTTAAATCCTGTAGCATAAGAACCTGTATATGTGCCTAAATCTCTCTATTTGGTCTGCGGTACAAACTTGGCTTTCTTTTCCCTTATGTGTGGTTGACATTAGGATTAGTAGAGTAAGATGTCAATTGTAGTAAACTTCACAAAAGAAAATGCTGCTAAGTGATCACTTCTATGTCGACTTGATTCAAAAGCTTTGCTATCTACTATTATAGAAGATGATAAGGATTTACTTTTTAGTGTTGGACTATTTTTAGTTGATACTTGATACCATTTGCTCATAACAGGTAAAAGTTCTTGCTCTGACAGATCATGACACAATGTCTGGCATTCCCGAGGCTCTAGAAGCAGCTCGTAAATATGACATCAAGATAATTCCAGGTGTTGAAATTAGTACAGTTGCCTCTCCTAGGTAATATTCTGGATTCTGATCCCAATGGAATGTAACTGCAATTATGACCCATACTTGTCCTAGGTGTACTTCAAGTTAATTTGATTTCTTCTCTATGATGGGAGGGGACAAGGGAGATTGTGAAAAATAAAATTCTGTATCAAATAATTCTAAAACTTGTAAAGTCTAAGCAATACTCCTTTTGATGTGTCATATCATGTTTATGATGTATGATCATCCACTGGCAGCGGAGACCCTGATGCAGAGGAACCGGTTCACATATTGGCATATTACAGTAGCTGTGGGCCAACCAGGTTTGAAGAGCTGGATAAGTTCTTATCAAATATAAGGGATGGTCGTTTTCTTCGTGCAGAGAACATGGTCCAGAAACTAAATAAGCTCAAGTTGCCTCTTAAGTGGGAGCATGTTTGCAGGATTGCAGGCAAGGGTGTTGCTCCTGGGAGACTTCATGTGGCCCGTGCTATGGTCGAAGCAGGTTATGTGGAGAATCTTAGACAGGCCTTCTCCCGATATCTTTTTGATGGTGGACCTGCGTACTCTACGTAATGCTGCAGAACTTGCCATTGTGAGTCATAACCTTATAAGAGTACTTGAGGAGAAAAGTAACTATTATGACGTTTGCGTTTCAGAGGAAGTGAACCACTAGCAGAGGAAGCAATAAAAATCATCTGTAATACAGGTGGTGTAGCTGTACTGGCTCATCCGTGGGCATTAAAAAATCCTGCTCCCATAGTCAGGAAGTTAAAAGAAGCAGGCCTTCATGGAGTGGAGGTATACAGAAGTGATGGAAAACTAGCAGGTAAATGGTTTGGTTAAGCAGTAACCTCGAGTAAAATTCTCAATATCATATTCGCTGAACTGGTGACTGTTTCTGCCTTGTTTAAGATTAATAACTTGGTGTGGAAGCACATTAACTACCAAAGTTAATTTATAAAGTATTCAGAATGCAGTGCGTTTCTTTTGTCCTCCTTTTAAAGTTTAACATCTACTCTAGAGGAGAGTCTTGATTAATTTGAAACTCATGAGGGGAAATTATTTTCGAGTGATATGACATTTTGGTTCTCAAACTTCTTCTCAGTTTGGTCGTCTAAATTTGAACTCTTTCACTTCAATCTTCTGAAGCAGTTTCCTTCCAAAAAATCCTTCTTTGAATTGACTGACATGAAACTAACTACTATAATGACATGTTTTACCATAATAACCACCAACCTCACCCCTAAATGAGGAGTTGGTAACACGTGAAACTTGGAGAGAAAAAAGAAAAGAAAGAAATGTCATTATTTGAAGTTTACTTAGGCATTTTGCATTTGAATTTGAACGGAATGTAACACGTCAGTGATAGCATTTCTTCTATTTAATGTTGAGGCAACCATTCTGTCAACTTTGGTCACTAGTTTCACGTTATTTAATTCATAAAAGGAGAAAGAAATCACTTTCAACGACTAAAATAACGAGATTCAAATTTGAAGGATTAGATTGAAAGGTTTACATTTCAAGGACCAACATCTTCACTCGTTTCTAAGAGTAGCCTGGCAGATAAATTGAAGGCTCTAACACTCTTATGAAATTGCTTATATTGCCAACATCTGGAGTATCAATTCTAGTTGGTCCATACACTAAAAAATCTGTACAGATTACTACTTATAGAAACAAGACCTTCTCGCCAAAATTTCTTATCCAATCATTCATTGTGATATTTAACTTTTGGCTTGCAGCATACAGTGACCTTGCAGATACCTGTAGTCTTCTAAAGCTTGGAGGCTCGGACTACCATGGAAAAGGAAATCGCAACGAATCTGAACTGGGAAGCGTTAACCTTCCAGCATTAGTGCTGCATGACTTCCTTAAGGTTGCTCGACCGATATGGTGTCACTCCATCCGAGAAATTCTCGAGACTTATGCTGAGGAGCCTTCTGATTCGAATTTAGCGAGAATCACGAGGTTTGGGAGGACCCGGATTTTTAAGGGCAGCTCATCCTTGACTTGTGGAAAGGACTTGATTGATCACTGGTTGCCTCTGTGGTTGACAAGGGAAGAGATGGAAAGTCTAGATTTTGAGGCCATAAAATTGAAGCTTTCCAGTCCTGTTAATGAGGGAAGAATTCAGGCACTAATAGATACTACGTAGTTCTTAAATTGGATCTTCCACAGTGGAGAGAGTGACAAAAAAGAGTATGATCACGTATGAAGTTTGCTTATCATACTCATTCTCTCTCTCTCTCTCTCTCTCTCTCAAAATGCATTATATGCAATCGAAAAAATGAGTTTAGAAGATCATTGAAGCATATGACGGAATTGAGCTCAAGACATCAAGTTTGCTTCAATATAAGGACTTATTTTTGGAAACTTCTGTGATTAGTAAGCCCTAAGCAACATGATTCATGTACTTTTTATGATCATTCTTCCCCAAAACACGTGCCAGAAAATAATTTACGGAAAAAAAGATTGTGGGGGGTGTTTATAGGGCAATTTCCATGCTGCTCATGGCATGTCAAAAATTAAAAATGTTAATTCTTTTGTCTCTCCTGTGAACATGTATTGTGAAAGATAAGCCTGTGTAGTCTTTTCATGTCAGTTCCTTTTGATTCTCAAGGTTTTTTCAGTGTTAAGAAAATCTAGCATTCCGATACAAATTCAAGGGATCGATGTTACTTTTATAATTAAATCTTGATCGATGAGAATAGAATGTCATGTATTAGACAAAATTCCTCACATGCCATGTTTATGCGTCGTGGCTTGCATGATTGTTCACTTAAAGAACTTGATATTATCAACCATGAATATAAAATGACAAGCAAAAACAAAAAACAAAAAACAAAAAACAAAAAAACAAATTATAAAGAAAGTAAAAAATATACCTTGTTTTATGTAACTCGCCCAAATAGACACACTACATGTTATGTATAAAAAAACACTCGAATTATGGTCATAAAAACCCTGTGTCAACTTTATTGGACATTATATTTGTATTTCCTTTTTTTTTTGTGTGCAAGTATTCTCCAATTAAAAGTAGGGAACACTTCCAATCGAACATTAAATTTGAGTAACTTTTTTTTTTTTAACCAACAAATTTGAGTAACTTTTACAGCAATAATAAATAAATAAATAAATATTATTCATCACATTGTCAAAAAATAATCCCTTCCAAACAACTCATCCTGCATAAATGATAATGATATTTTGACAGAAGCTTGAAAATGAAGATGAAATATTAGCTGTCAGTAGTGAGTCAACACAAATATGAAGTTTTGTATTGAGGGTTTGGCCCAACTTGGTGTTTTTCTTTTCCTCTTCTTTAACCCAAGAGGTTAGGAACCTAACAACAGAGAGAAAAATGTGTATATATATTAAGTTATATTATTATAAATTATGATTAGCAAGACTCATTTATGAAACTTTATACAATGCATGCAGAAACATGTGCACTTGTGCGAAAATCGAGTTTTTTTAGCACACGAAATTATCCGAAAACACTATAATTCTAGCTTCTGCACTAGAATGCGCACATAAAACCTACAAGTTACAGAAATGTAAAGGAAATTGTCTACAACAAATGGGAAACGTGAAGGATCTGGGATGTAAAATCAAGAAAAATTCATTCCACAAGGTCACAAAATTATGGTACTTTTACATGATCACATTTTGATCAACATACAATGCACCAAGAAGCCAAGTACATCATCACATGCAGATTCAATCAACGAGAGTTAAATGGTGCCCACATCACCCATACTTTCCAATCTCCACCTTCTTTTTCAATGTTCTCTTACCATAATATACGAATGAATCTACTATTCCGGCAACAGTGAATATACCTGTGTACAAAGGTAGAAATCCACTGGGCATCAGTTGCTTCATAGTTTTCAAAAAATAAATAGTAATAATACACAGGCGCGTCCAGATGGAAATATAGCAAAAAAACCAATGACTACATGACTCGAGCATAATAATGTAAAATGTTAGTGAATGACTGATTGTGAATAGCTTTGCTATAATTAAAAATGCCTTCACATGAAATCGCAAAACTCAAAGGTGGGGATGACAAGAATCAAAACTCCTAATCATTTGGTCATGAAAGCTCTGTTCATCATTCCAATAACTAGTTCAACTCAAGTGTAATTATAATCTCTCTAACATACTAATCACACATGTGCACAGATTATCTAAGTTCTTCAACAGAAATTTAGTCACCTTTATGATTGTTAGTTGCCAGCACATTCTAATGAAGAAGCGGTATAAGTTAGAGCAAAGAGAAAAAAGGTAAGGTCTGTTTTGTGGCCACACAATTACTGTATTGTGATTTGGTTTGTGAAATAGAGTTGAATGGAAAAGAAAATGAAATGAAAAAAGTGAAAGAAAGTAACATTTTAAATGTATAAATGCCATGTGTTCCCATATAAAAATTAATGATAAAAATAAAATACTTGCCAATAATTACAGGGATATAATATAATAGATATTTCCCATCTTGACTATTGTGCAATGGAAAAGGATTTCTTTTCCATAGTGCCAAGCAAACGGGTAGTTATTGTCAGACAAGCCATGTTTCAATGCAAGGGGTTAACATGGAGTTATCTAATTATAGAAGCCATAAATTTTACAATCTGCACTTATTAGTATTATATTATATGTGATTTCTTTGAAAATGGTCAACTTATTTTTGCTTATTTTGTTCAGAGGTGGGAGATGACAAAAACGGGGAAAAAAGGAGGGAGGGGGCAGCTACCTCCAACGATGGCACAAATGTTGGTCAGGAAGTGTAAAAATGGAACATGTTCCTCCTTAAAGTTGACCTGCAGCATAAAATCATGTGCTGTTACAAATTACCAAACACGCAGCCATATTTCTATGATAACAAATCAACTAAATTCGTTTGTTCAACAATTCTTCCAGTTCCTCAATATGACAGAAGAAACTGAATGGCGATCACCAGGGACCCAGCAGTTTGTATTGTATACAGTAGAGTAAATTTTAGCTTCAAACCAATATCGTCCAGCTGCTACATGAGCCACCTGTGGGTTTGTATGCTGTTGCATAGGGAATAATTGGGCTACTCTAGCCAACGTTTAATTGTGTAGTTTCTTTTGTTTGGGCGATTTGCCCCATTTGTTTACAAAATAAATAAATAACATCAATTATAGATGCTTTAACTGTGCCGTGCAGAAGAGCTACATCAACTTAGTAAAAGCTTCAAATTCATGCTTGAGGTTAAAGGCATGAAATGTTATAATTAACAAAGAGACATTTGTTTACTGACATACAAAAAACTGCTTTTCTTGCCATTTAAAATTTAAACAGTTTTTCAAGTTGAGTTGTCTTGATAAAAGTTTTGGAGTTAGCTGCTTGTGTTTCTTTTCCTTGTTTTTAAGGTCGTACAAGCTTGTGTTTTTGTTTTTTTAAATGAGCATATATGCAGGGAGTAAAATTTCCTTCTTTGAAAGTTCCAATAACAAGATTTTTCAAGTTAATAATACACGCTGTTACAGGTTGCCAAATCATGTAAGATGAAAAGGAGTTCATGAAAGGAAAGCCAAACAAGGGACATATAAAATCAACCATTAACGTAAATTTTATGATCACACAATTCAGCAGAATTGGGACATACACTGAGAGACAGACTATTATGCAAAGTTGATAGCACAGTTAAGGAAAAAACTAAAAGCACTTCACCCAATTGGCTAGTCAGATTTAACAGTTTTACCTTAATTGGATTTATGTCATAAAAGAAAAAGACTCCAGGAACTGCACCAAACTCTGAACCCTTGAAATGCTCTGTCACAGAATACTGTGCAACAACATACACAATGCAACTCAGGCATCATCCAAACAACACCATGGAATAATAGCATCTCTTCCCTTAATTTGCAATACCTGATTTGAATAGGTAACACGACCCCAAAGGTTTGTGTAAACTGTAGGGACCACCTGCAAGCGTACACAAATGTACAAGCAGACGTGACTCAGTACAAAAGTGAATCAAAAAAAAAATGTTCAAATACAAACAGTTGAAGCTAGTCTTCATTTCTTTGTTAGATGCGCAGACTCTTTAGCTAGGTATGCTTATGGCATGCCTAACCATTTTATGACCTTTGATCATCCCCCTTGGCGTTTGGAGGCGGAGAATGATGAAAGGTTGAGTACATAATCTTTAAGCACTGTGTAACAGTTCTTATAATGTTAGCTATCATCTTTAGTCAAAAATATAAAGGCAGACGAACATATCTCGACCATTTAATGCAATAGTTATAGGTAAGTATTAAAAATGTTTCTTCTGGCTAGCAAGAAATGTTAACAAAATAGAAATAATTCAATATTTATGTGTGTAGAAACACAAATAGGATCCATAACAAAGATGGTTCAGATTTTTATAACACCACCAAAAAATGGTTGAATTGGGTGAATACTAACATCATCAAGCATTTAGTTAACACTCCCAAAATATTACACAAGAAATTTAATGAGAACATTATCTGCAGATATTACTAACCTTGATGAAATACTGGTACATGCCATGGTTTGGTCCTTGCACCCATTGTGCCCTGCAATGGAAGAAATAAGGAAAATCTTTACATGGTTTGGAAAAGAAAATTATAGTTGAAGAATTTTCTTTCATAACAGTATTCCACACAAGAACACTCAAGTATTTTACATTATAAAATAAATTTGCACACAGAGAGAAACTACATCTTTTATAATTTCAAAGAAAATCATCCTAGCAAGAAAAATTTAAATGTCACATGTAAAACATGCCTGCATAAATTATATCACTTGCAGAACTGCAAGAGAATTCTAAATCATTTGTACTTGGTCAATCCATCCTTTGGTTAAATTAAAATGAAAATTGTACAGCACTGGGTTAACATTTAAACAAAAAACTGGATATGAATTTTTGATGTCAAAACACTTTAAACCATCCTTATCAGTTAAAATTAAAGACAGTAGAAAAAGTATTACCCGTCAAGAGGATTTACCAATCCAGGGAAATGGTCACCAAAACTTAACTTGTTGATTCGATGGCTGATCTGCAATATGCACCATAGTTTGTAAATGAATTTTGTAATACAAACAGAGCATTGAAAAATCAACAATTCTACAACAAAATATTATAAAGCCAAAGCAATAGATATTAGAGATTCTCTAAGTCCTACATTATGATTATCCTGAAAAGCAATCAGATCAGCCAGAAAGATAGTCGCCTGATGGATGCTTTTCCCAGTGGCAAAATGAAAATTTCCGGCCACCTTATTAACTTCAAGGGATCCATGGATATTGCATCCTTCGCCTTCTTCATCTTTTACACTCTGTATATAACCTTCTCTTTTACACTGAAAGCAAATTGTCAGGACCATTAACTATGAGTTGACAAAGGCTCCATAACTACATTTATTTCATATCAAAATCAAAAGATATATACGAGACCATGACCTGAGAAAGTCCATATCAAGGGTAATTTTGTAGAAAACTCAACTACTTGTGCTGTTAATATGTAGATGAGCACTACTGGAAGAAATTATGTATAAACCATGACATTTAAGTAAGTCAGCATTTGTGACCATCCAAAGAACATAGTTTATGCCAGCAACTAGCAGACCGTTTTTATTTTTGTAAGTGATTTCAACAGAAACATATATGACATGATGTTTACAACCTTATAAATGTGTCATTTTAATTCACAGAAAAATTCAGCGTTAGTAGTTTAGAAGAACAAAGGTAACAATTCCAACCTGGTCAATCAAATCCATATTTGATAGTGCCCAACCCTTTTTCTTGTATGCATCACGCACATCTTCACAAGAATTACAACAATGGTCATCCGACTGCACAGAGAGGGCAGCAAGAGAATGTAAGATGTTAAGAAACATTGCAAACTAAGTTGTATTAAAAGTGTTCAAGTACAACGATAAAGTTCAGCAAATGCATTGGAATACTAAAAATGATGAAAATAATTAACAGCAACTTGTTCTCATATGGGCATAGACTATGCATCCTGCACTAATTATTTTATCTATAAAAGGTGATTGTATTCAATAGCCACTCATAAATTTAAGTCAATCATAGACAAGGCAATTGTTCTAGCAGCAACCTGTACGTCTCCAATGAAATTTGGCTAGCCTTACTTTGCCAATGATATATGCATTGGGTGAACAAAAGTGATCTTATGATTCATTATTGTTAAATATTAAAAACAGTGCTACTCAAAATTAACACCGATCATAGTGAAACTTAATATAAACATTAATTAAGAAGCATATAGGATGGTTTTTATATTTTTCTTTCTTTTTCCTATCAACACAAGATTGATATTAACCAGACAAATAGGTGTAGAATGAAGAAAATAATGATGAGTCAGACTAAGGTAAATAGAAAATAAAAGGGTTAGCAGTTAATATCTATAACTAATAATCATCCAACTATTAACAAACTAGGTTTTTCTTAATATCAGCAACTTCTCATTTTTCATAGAGACTTAGCCTTTACAATCAAGTACATTAAATGGTTGAGTCTCATTAAATTATGCAAGAAAATTTTAAAACCTAGGTTTTTTTTTTTTTTTTTTTTTTCAAAAACAGATTCCTCAATGCCAAAAATTGATTTTCTTTCCACTGTAAATTTGAAGAGATTAGTTTCAAATATCCAACTCCGCCTATGTTTATAGCCGGTCCCAAGCCCGGGTAAAGGAGGAGGGTTGTGTTAGGCCATTAACAGCCAATGTAAAAATTTGTTGAATCTATCATGAACATGGACAATAGACGTTATAATGTTAATGCTAGGTCGTTGCCCGTAAGTAACGCGCTGCATGGCTCGAGTACAGTGATAAGTGAGTTAGAGCCGCTGCATCGGCGCCCGGATGTAGTGTTAAATGAGCAAGGGCTACCGCGTCATTCTGGACGCACGCGGCTAAAGAAGTTAGTCCATAAGAGCAAAATTAGATTTGGTACTTGGAATGTTGGGACATTAAATTGTAAATCTGTAGAGGTTGTAGGGGTTATGATTCAAAGGAAAATCAATATCCTTTGCTTGCAAGAAACAAAATGGCGTGGAGAAGGAGCTAAGGATATTCAAGGTTTCAAACTTTGGTATACAGGAAAAGTAAGTGCACGCAATGGAGTAGGCATCATTATAGATAAGGAGTGGAAGAAGAACGTTGTAGAAGTTAGCAGAATTGGAGACAGAATTATTTCTTTAAAAATGATAATTGGACGTGAGACTGTTAATATTGTTAGCGCTTATGCGCCGCAAGTCGGGACAGAAGCCAGTCTTAAGGAATTATTTTGGGAGGATCTGGAGGGGTTGATTCGACACATACCACAGAGTGAAAAGATTTTTATTGGAGGAGACTTTAATGGGCATGTCGGGAGGGAAGCTGGTCAGTATGCGAGGGTGCATGGTGGTTTTGGTTTTGGAGAGCTAAACAATGAAGGGCAAACTCTTCTTGATTTCTCATTGGCGTATGATTTTAAGATTGCCAACACTTGTTTCAAGAAAAGAGATGAGCATCTCATCACTTACAAAAGTGGAGCCTCAAGGTCGCAGATTGATTTTCTTTTGGTTAGGAACACAGATAGAAAACTTTGTAAAAATTGTAAGGTGATCCCTGGAGATGCTGTAACGACACAACATAGGGTCCTAGTCCTTGATGTGTGTATTATGAGTAAAATCCAAAAACGTCGACAAGTAGTAACACCAAAGATTAGGTGGTGGCAATTAAAAGGTGAGAAGCAAGATATTTTCAAGCGAAATCTTTTGGATAAAGGAATTTGGGATTCTCAGGGAAGTGCTAACATCATATGGGAGGATATGGCTAAAAAGATACGGGAGGTTGCAAAAGTAGTTTTGGGAGAATCGAAAGATTCTGGTCCGAGAGATAAGGAGTCTTGGTGGTGGAATAATAGTGTACAGGACAAAATCAAGTATAAGAAGAACTGTTTTAAAGCCATACATTTGTGTAACAATGAGGAAAATTGGGAGAGGTACCGTATGGCTAAGAAGGAAACTAAGAGAGCTGTGGGTGAAGCTCGTTCCAAAGCTTTTGAAGAATTTTATAAGAACCTTGAGACGAAGGAAGGAGAGCAAAATATTTATAAGATTGCCAAGAGTAGGGAAAGAAAATCAAGAGATCTAGAACAGGTAAGGTGTATTAAGGATGAAGAGGGAAGAATTTTAGTTACAGATGATGAAATTAAAAATAGATGGGAGACTTATTTTTCTAAACTTTTCAATGATGGAGAGGATTCATCTAGTAACTTGGAGGATTTAGTAACTGGTGTAGGAGAACAAAATTTGTCATTCTATCGAAAAATACGTGATAAGGAGGTAAAGGAAGCTCTTAAGAAAATGGCAAATGGTAGAGCTAACGGACCTGATTGTATATCTATCGAAGCGTGGAAATGTTTAGGTGAAGAAGGGGTGAGATGGTTAACTAAATTATTTAATGTGATTTTACGGTCCAAGAAAATGCCTGATGAGTGGAGGAGAAGTACATTAATTCCTATTTATAAAAATAAAGGAGATATTCAGAATTGTACTAACTATAGAGGGATTAAACTCATGAGCCACACAATGAAATTGTGGGAGAAAGTAATTGAGCACAGGTTGAGATTGGAGACAAGTATTTCTGAGAATCAATTTGGTTTTATGCCAGGTAGATCAACTACAGAGGCAATTTATCTACTAAGGGGATTAATGGAAAAGTATCGTTGTAAAGATAAAGATCTACACATGGTTTTTATTGATTTGGAAAAAGCTTATGACCGTATACCAAGAGAAGTGCTTTGGAAAGCGTTGGAAAAAAAGGGAGTACGGATTGCTTATATTAAAGCCATACAAGATATGTATGAGGGGGTAAAAACTAGTATAAGAACGCCTTGTGGTCAAACAAAGGATTTTCCTATCAAGATTGGACTACATCAGGGATCATCTCTGAGTCCTTATTTGTTCAACTTGATTTTAAATGTTTTGACGGAACATATTCAAGAGGAAATCCCGAAATGTATGCTCTTCGCGGATGATATAGTTCTTATAGCAGAGACAAGAGAAGAGGTTAATTGCAAACTTGAGTTATGGAGGAGGACATTGGAGTCGAAAGGTTTTCGTCTGAGTAGAAGTAAGACGGAATATTTATATTGTAAATTTGGTAAAAGACTATTCGAAAATAATTTGGAAGTGAAATTGGGAGATCAAATCATACCTCAAGTGGAAAAGTTTAGATATTTGGGAGCCATTATTCAAAATGATGGCGAAATCAGTGGAGATATTTCGCATAGAATTCAAGCTGGGTGGTTTAATTGGAGAAAAGCTAAAGGAGTTATTTGTGACAGTAAGGTGCCTAATAAACTTAAAGGAAAGTTTTATCGTATTGCTATCAGACCGGCAATGTTATATAGTAGTGAATGCTGGGCTCTAACGGGACAGCAAGAGCATAAAGTTGGAGTAGCAGAGATGAGAATGTTACGATGGATGTGCGGACATACACGTAAAGATAAAATTCGAAATGAGCACATACGTGAAAAAGTGAGGGTGGCACCTATTGAGGAAAAAATGGTAGAAAATCGGTTGAGATGGTTTGGGCATGTACAAAGAAGACCAAGGGAGGCACCAGTGAGAAGAGTGGAACATATAACTTTGAGTCCGATTAAGAGAGGTAGAGGAAGGCCTAAGAGAACACTCTTGGAAGTTGTTGAACGTGATCTCTTAATTAATAATATTTCTAAAAGCTTAATAAATGATAGAGCACAATGGCGTCTTGCAATCCATGTAGCCGACCCCACCTAGTGGGATAAAGGCTTGTTGTTGTTTTAGTTTCAAATATCCCAACCCTCCACAATTTTTAACAGTCCAATCTGAAAACCAAAACAAAACATCTTACTGAAGTTTCAAATTGAAAAGAAAACCAAGGCAAATTTATCATCAAATCATCAAACGTGCCTCTTCTGCCCCATAGCATGAACCACAGTACTTTTCGTTGTGTTCAAGTCTGCCACCATGTCTCTGTAAAGGCTTCTCAATCTGCATTATGAAAGAAATCCACAAAAAGAGAACCAAATAACATCATTCAAATGAGCATGTCTTCAGCTAAAAAACAGATATCAGAAAAATGTATTGGTGTTTTTGAAAATCAACTGCTCCAACAGCGTTCTTGCATACTATGATTGTAATGGTAGCAAAGTCAACTTTAAATAGAAATAAGATAAAATAGTAATATTTTATTCAATTAAAGCCCATTGAGAGCATCACAAAGTATGACATAAAACTACTCAATAGAGTAACGTTTTCATAACAACAAAAGTTACTCCACGTAGTTCTTAAAATGTGAATTAAAGTTGACAATAAAGCACACAGGATCTATACTGTAACTGTGAAGAGTATAATATAAACATTTCAAACTATGGTGACAAAATTGAGCATAATTTTCATAGAAAATTTTGCTGGAATTAATAAGAGCTTTGGAGTATTTCGGCTAACCTTTGGTGCACCAATTCTATCTTGCTTGGTGTCTATCACATTACCATTGGCATCGATTCTTTTTTTGACTATATTATGTCTCTGCAAATAGGAACAGTGCAACATAGGTAATCAATCAGAAAGAGTAGTATTGACATAAGACTTAGGGAAAATAATTTTTCCCCACTAATATCCATCGCAATTAATTAACAAACGCCAAGTTATGCAGTACATACTATATCAAGATGCTGCTCCCCACTAATATCCATTGCATCTAAACTGAGTATTGAACATTGAACAGCAGGAAAAGTGACATCAAACTGCACTTCCAAGCACAATGGTAAGGAAAACAGTCACAAGACCACAGTTAATAATATGATTTGGAAGAAAAATTAACAGAAAAGGGACATCTATGGAATTCTCTCAACAAATACATCAACAAAGTTAACAAATTAATGCAAACATATAACCTCTTGTCTACAACATGAACCGACACAAAGTCCATAAATTGGACTTGGAACATGAGGATTTATATTAAAGTAATAACTGAACCATAAATCCAAGAATTACATTGATGTGTAAGCTTTCCCCTCTTGAAGTATCCACTAGAAGCTTAGTCTCAGTAACTGTATAGAGGTATGAACCTGCAACAGCAATTAACAGATTACATAAACAGAATCTAATGGGAAATCTTTAGTCACATCACATATATTAGTAGCAAAAGAAATGACCTTGATAAACAATTTTAATGTCAGACCAGGCTTTATTTATTCTATTAATTGTTAGCCCTGAATTGTTACATACATAGCCATAGTAGTGATCACATGTTAACTGCAGAAAAAATAGGATCGACAGATTTAGTTACAGTTAGAACATCAAAAGTCAAGCTGATGAGCCCAATAACATGGAACATTTCATATATCAAGGGCCAGCACTAGGAAATTGTCCGTCTGAGGTGAAAAGATAAGTGCAAATATAGTTCAAAGCCATCTGTATGATTTTCTATACTTTTATTGGTTAATCTTTTCTCTTCAAAAATCATAATTTATACATCGGTTCCAAACCTTGGCTCTCAACAATCAAGTTAAATGTAGCAATGACCCTATTCTCCTCACTAAATGGAGCTAAAGCACCAATTTCAAAGGAAGCTGTTATTACACAAACCATAAGCCCCGAACACGAAGAGCACGTTATTTGTATAACCAGTTAGCTATAGTGTCTTGTTATACACGCATTGACAAGGTAGCATTACTAATTAAATTTCTGTGATGTGATTGCTGGAAAGGAGAAGGAAAGGGGAGGGGTAAAATCCATTCCACCTTCTAAAATATCATATTTTTGTTAATTCCCTTCTCGGTGAAAATTTATATATCAAATTAATGCAGCCAAAAGGCCAGGTAGAGTAGATGAATTAAGACGATTTTCTTAAGATCCAAAACGTAAGTATTGGCCCTTCATTTTCTTTACACGTAAGGACACCCCAACCAGGTGATCAAACGCATTAAAATTTTGAAAAAAAAAATCAATAAAAAGTAAAAAAAGAAAAAGAAAGAAAAAGGGAGGATCGAAGGGGCATACTTAGCTCAGAGAAGAACAAGAAGAGGATAACAGCGGCAGAGACCACAGTGATAACACCTCCGGAGAGAGTGCGGCTGTAAAAATCTTCGTTGATTTTAGGGTAAGCATCCAAATTGCGGAGCTTGTGGAGGAATTTATCCATGGCGGTGGCCATAATCCCAGAGAACTCCCACCCACAAGCGCCGAGCTTGGGGAAACGAAGAAAGCTTCGATCAAAAGGGGTCGAAATGGAGTCAAAGAGGTAGCCACGAGGTGTATCGAAGACCCGACGACGTTGGCCTGCGAAATGCGCAGACTTGTCTGTTCGGGAAGGGAACGAACGAGGGAGACGAGAGCCCCCCAATTCAATGATTCATGGTCAAAATAGTCAAACAAAGCGTGTAAATAGTAAATATATATTTTTTACTAATTTCTTTTTTCCACTCTATATTTCTATTTCGAGGTAATGCCTTTGGTGGATGATGAAACAGAATTCATTTACCCAACAAGGCAACGGCAAAAGGAAGGGAAGGGAAAAAACCAGTGAGAGAATTGTTTTCTTACGTTAAATCCAAGACTTTTCCTTCTTTCTTTTTTCTTTTTTTGCAGCAAAAATACATTGTTTTATGAGAAATTTACAGTCAAGTCTTAAAAAGAAAAATAATTTTTTAAAGTTATTTACATGTCGAACTTTAATATTTGCATGTGTTTACAAATACTTAGGACCTATAGGTAATCACCTTTTTATATGCAATCCTCCTTGTCATATAATTTCATGAAAATGTACATTAATTATTTATTGATATTTTCTTTTTTGTATTTTAAATACTCACTTTAATTATCTATGACTTTTGTCCAGGTAAAAAAAAAAATAATAATAACAATCTATGAGAGATTGAGATAATTGTGCTCCAATATATCCATTGACCTACGCCACCAAGAGCAACAGCCAATTCAACTGGCTTGTTTAGGCAGTTTGTACTGTTAATACATACTGTTTTGATGTAAGATTACAATCCTTCCATGTTTCCACAATAACATATTATTCGCTGGAATTAAGGTCCAAAATACCGGGGGGAAAAACTTTACATTTTTGCTAACTTTTGAAGCCTCAAGAGGATATAACTCTAAGATTAAAAGGCATGAGTCTAATCCCTCTATTTAAAAATATAAGACATTTTCAATTAAATTTCACTCCTTAATAAAGTAATTACCTACTTTTAAATTAATCCTATTTTTTTATATTTATTTTTATTAAAAACTCTGCAATAAATATAAAGTCATTATTGATAGAGGTACTTTTAAAAAAAAGAAATAATTACACATCGAAAGACAAAAAATGCTTTATATTTTTTAACATTCAACTTGTCAAAAAAAAAGCCTTACATTTTTTAATAGAGAAAGTAAGATTTTTTTTTTTTTTTGACTTCTTTGATTCTTGCTTTGATTTATGTGTCACTGTGATTGTGTTGAACCTCAAGGAAATGGGATTAAATTGGTTAAACATTCTAAACTTAATTTATTTAATATATATTTCTCCCTTTGCCTATGCAGTATTGAATCAGATGAAGTTTAAAGAAAGAAACTAGAAATCAAAAGAACAAAAGAATCTCATGGCAGAGGCTATTTGCTCATATCTGCTAATCAATAGAGGAAGTTAGATGTAGCAAGCTCACCTCCAATGATAAGCCCATTGATAGAGTTATTGCCCTTTTAAGCAGGGACAAATCCATGAATTCTTTTATGGGAGGCCATAATTAAATTTTATTAAAAGTGGGACGCCAAAAGTGATTTCAACATTTTTCATAAACAATAACACACTCATGCAAAAGAAATTTTACCATAGCCCCTGTTGGCCTCCCCTTAGAACCATCACTTCTTTTAAGCATTCAAAGAATCACTGAAGAGATCAAACTCTAAGCTTTGAAGAATATCTAAAGCCCATGTTTCAAGAGCTCTCACACCAATTGGAATCCACTTCAAAAAAATAGAATTAGATCGGATGTAAATACTTCCTTTGACCATGTCTTTTTATCTTAGTTCACAATTTTAGGCTTGCTTAATTTCTATTCTCATTTTTTATTTTAAAAAATTATTTTACAATACATTTTTAAAAACTATTTTTCAAAACAAAACAAGATAAAAATTTATTTGATTATGTTTACTTAAAAAAGTTTTAAAATTAAAAAAAAATTAATAGTGATGATTATAAGTAATTAATGATGATGGTTTATGATAAAAATAAGTCAAACTAACTATATTTTTTTAATAATCAAATGTGTGTTTTGAAAAGAAAAAAGCAAAAGAAAGCAACTTTACACTATTTCTATTTTTTAGTTTTAAAAATAAAAAATGAAAATAATAAAAATAATTAAATTCAGATGCTTATCCAAACATGTTTTTAAATTGTTTTAATGTTTAAAAACAAAAACCAGAAACCAAACACATGTCCTTAGAATCCTGAACTGCAATTAAAGTTCTTAGGAAGTTTTGAAATGTCATTGTCCCATGATTTTATATTCTCACCCAAAAGCATCCCTTCATCTAGAAATCTGTTTTCTTGGTTTTTTTTTTTTTTCAAGGATAGAAAGATGTTTAGACGCAAAAGAATATGCATTATATTTTCATATAAAATTGGCACTATTAAAAAATCTGGAATTTAACACAAGATAAAAGGATGAAGACCAAAATAACATGGAAGAAGCCAAACTAAGGATCATCATGCAACTAAAAATAAATAACCAACCTACCAGATAATGCCACATTAATAGTAAGCACATGATCAACATATTCTAAGCAATGGCAAGTAATGCATTGAGCAAAAATTAAGAATATTTTCATATATCTGTGCTTGTTTTTCGTTTCTGCTAAGAATGATCAACGTTTCCTCTCAAATCGCCACTTGTACACCGGTTTTGACGTTGGACAGACAATCTCATCTTCACGTAATTTCCTTTTCCGACCCTTTTTCTGCTTATAAAAAAAACAAATTAAAAAAAAAAACTTTAAGCATTATATAGGAATAGAAGCAAAAACAAATCCACAACAAAGTATAACAAAATGTTGTATACCTGAAGCTCCTTCTGCATTACCATATCATTGTAGATTGTCTCCAGTTGACTCACCCTATTCTTCCTTTCTTCCAACTCTCTATAAGAGGAAGCTGTTTGCCTGAACCCACCAAAAAAAAAAAAAAAAAAAAGAGGAAGAAAGAAAGAAAGAAAGAAAGATATATTACTGATAAATCATGACAATAAAGAAAGCTTTAAAAAAAATGACATTCAAAGTTAAATAAATCTTATTTTCCACATATTATACAGTTGTGTACCTCTTAATCTCATCAGGAATATCATCAGGCACAAGATTCCCCCTTCTATTACTTCTCGACTTTATCTCTTTAGCTTCTTGCCTACAGAAATATATAAAATCGATTTTAAAAAAAATCCATACAACTGAGGATAAATTTAAACAACAAATATTGTGTACCTGCAACAATTCCGCATCAAAAAAAGACAATCCTTAATCATAATCCTTACAAATTAATCAAAAATGATAAAAAAGAATAAAGATAGTATATCTCCTTTTCTTTTCCCCTTTTCTTTTTCTGCAAGGCATAGACCTTTCCATAATCTGATTTTTAGATTATCAGGCCAAAAGAAGATAAACTTAGATTAACAGAAGAACTTGGTGACAAAGAATTTTTCATAAAATTTACAAGGAGGTTCCCTCCAATATCAAAACTCAAGAGCAAAATAATCACTAATAAGAGACAAGGCTTGTTCAACTGTTTGTGATTGTTATTGAAATGGGAGCTCATACCTGTCCTCAGCAAAGTAAATATGCTTGCCCGACCTTTGCTGATCAACCAAGTGCAATGAAGCAGTTAGCTTTTCAACTTTCTGCATGCAAAAATTCATAATTAAGTGCACATGACAATGCCACGTAAATTTTTAATAACAAGAAACATCCCACCGCATTGATTTACCTTTCTCTCGCTCTGAAGTTTTTGAAGAACATATCCCATATCTTGGGTCTTCATCAGCATGAGCTCTTCATGGGTATATTTACGTGCTTCACTCCTAAGAAACCAAGGGGGAGAAGCTATCAAGTCAATTCAATTCACCCAGTAATTAGGAACAATTTACTGAAACATCTAAAAGAACAACTATAAGGTGAGCAATATCATACTCAGGTCTATGAACTCCGTCAACCACTTTTGTTCTGATCATTTTGAAATAAAACTCATCTGGGTTTCTGAATTCTGCTTTCTCTTTAAGTTTCTGTAAGGGAAATACAGAAAAATCACCAAGCAAATAGTTAGTAACTGAAGTTAGCTAAGTCTATTATTACTGGTAATGACAGACTTAATATTGAGAAAGTTAGTTGGCAAGAGTTCTGACAGGACCAGCACCAATAACAGATATCAAGAGAGAAATAACAGGAAAATGAAGAGAAATTCACTGGATATCCTATATTACTAAGGGAAAATATAGAGAATACACTCACTAATTAGCTTCATAAACTCTAGTTCCTACCTCAAATGTCAAACAAGAACCGAAAACAAGAAAGAACTCCCAAACAACCTGGTTTTCGAGAGATCAGGCCGTCTCCACTAAGATGATGCTACTACCTACCTTCTCTGTCACTCCCCGCCCCCTTTTTACCCCCTCCACTACCCTGACAGTGTCAAACATCGTTTACTGTGTCTTTCCCACTCTGCCCTTGTCTCCCCTGTTCTTGGGTATTTCTTTTGAGCTTCTGTTTGTATACATGGCCCCACTTGTTGGAAGGCCCAACAAGTTCTCAACTAAATAATACTTGAATAGTTGTACAATAGAAGTGAGAAGGCAACTATGATGGTTATTACAGTTATGAAATTCTAATTCTCAGTAATTTGTCCTATGCTTTCTATTTCTATTTTTAGGAGGCTCATACGTACAAACAAGAAAGATCAGAAAATCAAAAGACCTTTATTAATGTAATTGTGAACAGTGATCCAAGAGAAGGCCAGACAAGAACGGATTTAGAAGGGGGAAAACAAATTCATGTCCAGCAGAAGAAATTATAGAAAGATGTAAAAATAATGAAGCATTTTAACCACTTCCAATTATTTCATTCAATACCATAAACGGCATAAAGGGAAACACAATGATGGTGCAAGAGCATGTATAGAAAAAAGTGATACAAATTTCAATAGATAAAACCAAGGTAGTCAGAGGCAAGAGGCACCCATAAGGTGCTGGACCTTTAAAAGGCCTTTAAGTAAGAGGCACTAAAAAGGCGCATGCCTAAGTAAGAAAAAAGAATTATATAAACAAAAAGGTAAGACATGTTTAATTTCAAATAACATTTTACGTACAGAATTATGGCTCTCTCTTTAGCCCTATGTCTCTTATCCTTAGGACATCTTCCTCCACTAGCACATTTTTTTCAGAAAACTTCATTTATTCCAGTGTGGATGGCAAGCAAGCCTATATTTCCTGGTGTCAATAGAACTCCTTACGAGCATTGTTTCTATCTACAATTATCTAAAAATACAGGTGAATAATGACTGGATGGAACTAAGGAATAATTCCTCAGATTCGAAATTATAGAGTTCCCTTTAAGATCAAACAATTCCGTCAAATTGAGAATACACTAGATATTATAGGCTTTAATAGTGATAGTGGGATGTGATCATGAATATGAATATCGGATTGACCAAAACTTACCTTCACAGTTCATGTATACTAGTTCCAGATAATGAGTGTTCATATATAGGCTTTAAAATTGTAAAGGAAGTTGGATGACAGTAAGGCAGTCCCTAATTTTTTTTTTTTTGGGTAATTGTTTACAAATACTAAAGACACCCTAAATGCTTTGTTTTTATGTCTGTTTGTTCCCTATTATCTTAAATATACAAGGTTGTGCTGGACCTCTTAGGTTGTGTTTTATAACTTGAACTTATAAGCTGATTGCTGCAGATGAGTAAAGCGCCTAAGGCATGGAAAATGCTCAAAAGGTGCTCGCCTTTTGGAGCCTTACTGAAGGAAGCACCTCTCACATCAGCAGAGGTGCTGGACCTCTTTAGTGCCACACGAGTGCCCTAGACTGCAGTGGAGAAAACCGATGATTCTCTAGACTATCAAATAGTCAAGCTAACAGTATTCAAAGGGTTGGCAAGGGGTTCAATTTCAAATGGAAGTTGCAGGGAAGGGAAATTAGAAGAGAAGCCTTTCTGATTCCTTTATATGACTGTGACAAGGTTTTTAAGATACAATGGCTAAAATCAATAAGGAAGAAGATGTTTGATATCACTGAACTTCCTATGCTGTTCTGATACAGAAGGAAGAAATTGGAGATGCTACATGGTTACAGTTTTATGATTTTTATTGAATATATTCTAATTTTTTCTAGTGATGGTGACCCTCTTGAGGTCAAGGGTTTTGAGAGGAGGGAGGGATTACTGCGAGGCAAAAGCAGTTAGTAATTGGGTTTTGGTTAGCATTGAGGGAGTAAGTTAGCTAAAGTCACTAACCCTTACAGTTGATGGAATAAAGAGAGTAGCTAGCTATGATGGGAGCCCAGATTCTAATTTTCTCCTACGTTCATTCTATTTCTATTCCCTTTCCCTTACGACAAACATAAGCATCAATGCAAAATCAGAACTCGAGCAAAATCTTTCGACAATTTGTACCCGTAAAGTCTCCTGTTTCTTATGGAATGCTTTTGCCCGGACGACATAGTCTTTGTGCTTTTCAAGAAGGCCAAATTTTTTCCTCGAAGACCTGATAAAATTTTACACAGCCCCATCAATCAATTCACAAACCAAAAGCTAAAGAATCCATTTTGTAAGGGGAAACAAAACCGGGAATTTCAAGAACTTACGGTTGAGCACGCTCTTTGTGAGCCCGTCTGGGAATAGCGTTCTTGAAGGAAGACATGTTCATGGAAGTCGTGAGCGGCTGAGTGCGGCGGCCGAGGTAGCCCGTGGAAGGGAGGTGAGGCGAGCTGGTCCTAAAATCAGTGAATCAATAAAAAAATATAAAAAATTTAGTCCTTGACGTTAAAAAATAATGATGGCTTCAACTCAAGACCTTTTATATAAATTTTCCCATATTTTAATACACTGTCAGAAGGACCGATTGTCTGTTTGGTTTGCCTTCACAATCGATTTTTTGAAAGCAAATTGATTAATGGAAGAAAATTACCCAAACAGCCCATCTTTTTCATAATCAATTATGTTGACTAATACCAATTAATGGATGAAGCTAATGGGAACAGCTTTTGGATTTCAATTTTACGTTTGCATGCATGTATTATTTATCAGATAACTCACTTATCAAGTATAACACTAAAGGTTAAATTCAAAGCCGAAAAAATAGTGATGTTATTGATGATAGGGGAGAAGGTCATGGCCTTTATTGATTTATTTTTACATATATTAAATTATTAATATTATTATATAATATGATTTAAACTATTATAATTAAAATATACTCTTTTCATTTAAAAATATAAAATATTTTTAATCTTTTAAACCTTATTTGGTTCAAGAAAAAGGGAGGGGAGGAAGGCGGCATCCCCCCAAAATTGGGAGGGGTAAGGAGGTTTTAAAATTTCCCCTCCCCTCTTTTTACCCCTTATTTGGTTGGAGGGAAGGGGAGGAAAAATTTTCCAAACCCTTCCCTCCAAAATGAGGGACTATGAAGGGAAGAGGTATAATTTTGTTTCATTTTGACTAATTTGTTCATATTATATTTTGATAATTCAAAAATGCCCTTTTTAGATACAACCCATTTTCCTTCATTCATTGATCATTCTTGAACGCTTGGACCGTATCGTTCCTTTCACACTAATGCCAATCGTGACTTGCAACCATCGTCATAGCAACTGTAGCCACTACCTCCGCCATCGCTGTTACCATCTTGTTCGCCCTTTTCCTTCAGGTTTCATTCATCCCCCCTCTGTTCTATTTTGTCACCCCCTTCTATTTTGTTTGTGGCTAGATGAAAATTTGCTCTATGCTTTCTTTATTCTGTTGCCCCCTTCTATTGTGTCCCAATCGTGACCTATTTGTGAATGATTGACTGAAATGGTAGAGAAGCCAAACCTAACATCTTTAAATGCTCTAGTTGCTTTCATTATGTGATTTGTTTGATCATGAAGTTTGTGCTCAAATTCAGCAAAAAACCATTGTCAAGCACTACTTTGTCCCTAATTATTTTTTCTCAATACTAGGGAATAAGAGATATTATTTGTATTGATAATGCCTACTACATTATTCATGGATTAGGCTCACAAATAAGTTTGCCATTAATTTTGTAAGTAAAATCTCTAAAAATAACACGGTAGACACTCCCTAACTAAGAAAAATCCAAAAAAATAATGTGAGTTTAAGAAAAATCTAATAAGATATTATACTCACCAGGCACATCAAAATTAACAAAAAAATCTTTGGAAAGAGCAAAAGAGGTTGTAGAAGAAATATAGGAGTGAAGTAAGCAATAGAAATCCTTGGAAAGAACCAATAATATCAACAACAAAAAACAATTTCAACTGTGCCAATTATAGCAACCAATGTTCCACTAGTGAGTGTCATTCCTAGAAAAAAGATAAAAAAAACCCTCATTTGTAGCATATTATTTTGGATTGCAAGGACAATTTTGATTTGAACTCCTCCAAGATCACAAAGTTCAGGCTACAAACCATTTTAAAGGTATATGTTGATTTAAAAAATCATGAAATGTTATCTTAAAGGATAATGACAAAATCTTACTGTGCAGAATATATTTTTATGGTATATGATGATGACAAAATCATGAAATGTTATCTTATAGGATAATGACAAACCATTTTAAAAGTATATGTTGATTAAAAAAATTACATTGTAGATTTTTATGGTCTGTTTTGGACATGAGGTGGTGTTTAGAAGTAAAATCCATATTTATTTTTGTTATCCAATTTGGTTAAAATCTATTTCAATAACAAGTATTTTTCTTTGTTAGATGGCATTTGATGACTTTTTAATTGAATGGCTGGATATGCTCTAAAGGCTTGTAGCTCATTTCATTTGTCTTGTTGCAAGTTATTGTGCACTCCTAATGTCTAATAATAGGAGAAAAGTGAGTTATAATATAAGCTCAAAGAGAGAAAGAGTACATGAAGAAATAATGAGTCGCATAACTAGCAGTGATAATGGACGACATCTTGTTAGAATGGGTTCTCAAGCCTTCTTAAAACTTTATAGTATGCTAGAAAAACATTGTAGCTTACAACCAACACGATGGGCGAGTGTAAAAGAATAAGTTGCCAAAACCCTTTTCATAATAACCCATAAAGCAAGAAATCATGTAGTAAACTTCTTTTTTCGACGTTCAAGTGAAACAATTAGTCATCATCTCCAAATAGTGTTGAGAGCTATACTTAAATTAGAAGATAAGTTAATTGTCCGACCTGATGGTTCTATGATCCCTCCCGAAATACATAATAAAGTTGGTAAATTCTATCCACATTTTAAATTGTATTGGTGCCATAGATGAGACAGATATACGTGCCAAGGTATCTCCTAAAGACGCTCCTAGATATCGGGGTAGGAAAGACTTTCTAACACAAAATGTGTTAGCAGCATGCACATTTGATTTGAAGTTCACTTATGTGCTTGCTGGATGGGAAGGCACTACATCTGACTTAAGAATTTTGAAGAATGCATTAAGACTAGAAGATAGGCTTATAATTCCTGAAAGTTAGTCTCTCACTAACTAGTAGTTCTTTCAAAGTAAATATGTATCAAATAATATTTTGAAATTAACATAATGACCATTTTATTTTATCGTAGGTAAATATTATCTTGTGGATGTTGGCTTCATGCTAACAAGTGGCCTTATTACACCTTATAGAGGAGTTCGCTATCATTTGAAAGAAAATTCAAGCAATCCACTTCGAAATCATAAGGAATTGTTCAATCTTCAACGTGCTTCATTGTGTAATGTTATTGAAAGAGATTTTGGGGTGTTGAAAGAAAGATTTCCAATTTTATCTAGTTCATCTGAGCCTACTTATGGTGTCAAATCCCAAACATTGATTATTGGTACATTTTGCATCCTCTGTAATTATTTAATGAGTGTAGATCCTGATGAAACTCTTCTGCATCAAGTAGATGACGAACTTGGTGCTCAAAATGCACAAGCTAGTAATAATCGTGCTTCAAGGAGGGAGAGTGATGAGGCTACTAGGTGTAGACTTATGAGAGATATAATTGCTAACCAAATGTGGATAGATTATCAGAATCAATTTATGAATAGACATTGATGTATTTCTTTGAGTTAAGACCTTGTTGATGAATTTCACTTGTATCCCAAAATGATGTGATTTTATTGATATTTTGTTGTATGCTCTATGATTGAACACCACCTTTCTTGCTATATGATGAATGAATTTTTTTAGTCCCATTTTATTGTATATTTATTGTCATAGCTTACAATTATCTAGTTAATTATATATGTATGTATGTATGTATGTATATAAAATTATGATTACAATTATATATTTTTGAAGGAGATTATAGTTATATATATTGTAATCACAATTTAGCTTATATTATACTTTTATTAGTATTTTTTAATATAGGGGTATAACTGTCCATCATAGAATTATTTTCCCTCCCCTCCCCTTTAAAACCAAACAAGGTAACATTAAATAATAAAATCACTCCCCTCCCCCCTCTTCCCTCCATTAAAACCTCTCCCCTCCCTTCCTCTCCACCCGAACCAAATAGAGTGTTAAAATTTCTCCTCTCCTCCTCTCCCCTCCACTCCCCCCCAACCAAACAGGATTATAAGGTGTCATTATTAGTTTTTTTAAAAAATATTTTTATTGAATAAATTACTTTATATTTTATTTTAGGGTAAAACACTATATTAAATAATGGTAAAGATGAAAAGATATAGTTAGTTTAAAAATAAGTAATTACTTTATAAATGGTAAGATTCGATTAAATATTCTTTACATTTTTTAACAAAGGGAGTATATATTAAATTATATAAATATTAAATGGATTACTATTATATATAATTATTTGTTAAATAGAGTTAGATTAAAACTTGAAGTTAACTTCTTAGAGTAGAAGATTTTGAAAAGAAAAGCTTTAAAATTAAAACTCAATGCATTAAGCATTAACAGGTAATATTTGAACGATAGCAAAGATGATTTCCTAAAATGAAGATGATTTTCTAATAATATTATATATAACTTTATCAATAATTTAATTTTAAAAAGAAATATTTTTAATGATAATTTGTATAGCTAAAATTAATTCTAATTAAATTATCTAAATATTTTTAATTTTGTTAAAATTAATTTTAAAAAAATAATATTCAAACAGATTGCATTATAACATAATCAAATATAATTAAAATTAATCATATTAATAAATTATTTTTATAATTAATTATACCCAACTGATATCCAGATGGGCCCTCGAATCTAACAACTTAGAATAAATTTTTATTGTGGATTTATTTTTGTTTATTTAATTTCATTTTTAATCAAATATATAATATTGAATAAAAAATTATGCTGATATATTTATATTAAAAATGTTTTTTAATTATTTTTACGTTGATATATTTATATATCAGGGTAAACAAAGTAAAATATCTATAACCTAAATTTTTATTTGAATCATTTCAATGATACAAACAAATGTTTAATAAACCTAAAGTATATTCAATTTAAGTAATTTAATTTTTTACTTTTTATTTTATGACACAGCATATTTTCTATTCATTTCACAATTATAACATATTTAAAATTTAAATCTTAAGTGATGATGCGTAAAAAACTATATACCACTTTTTGTTCGGTAAATTTTTTAGAACACACATTTCCCTTGTTTGTCATGTAAATGCGTCGTTTATCCATTTTCTCACACATAAATATGCGAACATCATAAATATTCCTTCTAATTTCTATTCATTTTCTTCTCATTAGATTACTGCTATTACTCTGCTTTGCTACTATTTTATTGTTAAACATGTAAGTGAGGGATTTGGATTTAACTTGTATCCTAAATAGACTTATTCAATGAGTGTCAATTAGATTTTATTATTGAAAATTATCAAAATATATTTCTCCCAAAAATACAAAACAATCAACATAATTAAAATAGTACTCGTTACTTATTATGTCCTTTTAAAAATTTGATATTTGACACTTTTTGAATATTATATGACAAAATTTTTAACAACCATAATAAATGTACTTAACCCACTCAGTGAACCTAAATCTATATATCAAGGTCAATATATTATAAATTTAATTTTTAAATTTTTTATTGTTTTCAATAATTGATATTTCTATTTTAAAAATAACATTTGCATCCTTCCACTTTTCTCTTTTTTCTATTTTCTCTCAGCAGTGTTAAACCTTCATTTACATACATAATTAACTTACACTTAACCTTAAGATAGAATTACAATGGTAATTACAATCAATTTAATTAACAGTAAATAATATCATGGCATAAAATAGATCAACCTTGACTATTTGAAAACTCATAAAGTTAAGTGAGAAAACTTTGTAAAGATGAAATATCATAAATCATTTAATCTCAAAACTAAGTTTAAAATGTCATTTAACCATTATAAATTAGAGTGAAAATTATTTGAAAAGCATGAAAAATATTTAGAGTTGAAAACAAATTAAAATAAAATCAAAAGGGTCATTTTCAATTGATAGAGACACTTGACTGTGGCCAAAGCATATTAAGTCGTGACCTACACTTCCAGTGAAAATTTAGCTGTAGTTAAATGGTCTCAATAACTCCTTTAGCTGGAGCCAACAGTCTATAAGCCACAATTAAAGCTATAATAGCATCCATCATGACAACTATCACTCATGAATTTTCAATGCACATAACTTTTGACTTAAATCTTCGATTGACGTGATTCAAGTACTCACACAAACAATTTCATAATTTAGTTAATGGTTTTGGTCTCATGTCAATTCAACATCAAATGAAGAATTTAGATACCTAGAATCACAATTTCACATTTTGCTTCTAAAACCATCAACTAAATGTCCAAATCTCATACCATAAGTCATTAACCCACATAAGGGCTTGAACCATACTCAGTAAGTCTTAATACATTTGACCAAATAGTCACAAGTATCAAACAACTATTAATACAAGAACTGACCAATCAACCACCATAAGGCACATAAGGGTGAAAATGCAATTCTTTGCATTCAATCTAAATAATCACCCAAACATGTAAAACTCATTTAACTTATCAAAATATACTTATTCAAACTATCTTGGCATACTACCATGGTCAAATTAGGGGTTTGGACCCTACTATAGCCAAGACAATTTGAAAATGTCTAAAATCAATATTTAAGGCTACAATGCAAATGGATTTCAAATGAACATAAGTAAATGTGACAAGCTCCCTAGTTGGCAAATGCTGTATTCAAATTACACATAAAACTATAGACATTACAATTAACTATTTAGTCTCTAGCTTCAAAAGCCTCCCCTTTGCTCTTAGCTTGATCCTCACATATAAACATTAAACTACGAAAGTGAGATAAACATCTCAGTAATTAAGTAATTTAATCAAGCATATTAAAATGTGGCATTCACAACAATTAAGCATATAATATCACATAAGGTAAACTAACATTATTCACAATGCATGATTATAATGTATTTTGCATGATCAAATGTAATCGCCTTATACTATTCTTTATATCATTTGACTAAATCTATAGGCTATTGTCTCATATAAGTCTAGCCCATATGACTAGACTAGCCCTGCTCTCTAATTATGAGGAGTCACCTAGCTAAAAGCTCTCGTACTTACTGTTAAACCATATATTCCCCTTACTCGAATTTTGGAGTGTCATAAGTGCTCGACCCACATTGTCCAATTTAGGATTGGTGATGCCGAGCATCTTATCCAACCCATACCACACCATAGGTTTTTGTAATACTAAGCACATAAAGTAATAAAGTATGCCAACCATTGTGTGCAAATTAAGTGGAGGCAACACCACGTGAATTTTCTGTCATAATCTTTTTACTATGATGAGGTGAACTCCCACTCATTATGGTCATACAAATTTAATCAACATATGCAAATCTAAGCTCATATATATCATAGTAATTCATCATCCTCATAATTTCCAAGATTTGCATGCTTATCATAGTTCACACTACATTATAATTTACAATAGCTTACCATATAATCAATTTATAACTAATCTAGGCCCACAATTTATATTTCAAATACCACATAACATCTATATAAACATAATTATCAAACATTCATCACAAATATGCACATATATTTATCATATCTCTTCCAATATTATTAATTATGACCTTTATCATGTTAACACATTCATCTCAAGTTTAACATCTCATGTTCCAATATTATATATTCATCTATAAGCTCATTTTGCTTATCTTAAGACATTCATAATAATGCTTAAAGTGTAAATGTAGACACAATGATATACTATAATTAAATTTTTGATTATCTCAACTCTTAGTTTACTAACCAGGAGTACCTGTGAATATCAAACAGAGCCTCTAATAAACTTAATAACACCAACAATAGTCAATGTACAACAAACACATCAATAGTCATTAATGACTAATTATTCTTAAGTAGCTTTAATCAATGCCTAAACTTAAAATTTTATTGTGGTCATTTACCTACAACCATATTCATTTTTTAAGTTCCATTAGTTCACTTAGACTCTTATTAGTCTAATCAATAATACTAATAACTCATAACCTCCTTAGCTTGACTAATTAGCTCTAGAGTCTATCCCGAACCTTATTTTGAAATTCTAAAATATCATTAGCATCATAACTCAAAAATTAGACACTTAAATAACCCATTAATCCCATTAAGTTATAATTCTAGGCAAAATCAGAACCCATTTTTAGATTTTCAAAGAACTACCCAAAAATAATAATAAAAATGCACAAGAGAAGAAGAGAAGAGGTTGTGAGAACTTATCCAAGTGATTAGAAGATCTAAATACACTCAATTAGACATCAACAACAAATTCTAATAGAGCCTTCCTCATTCACCTTTAGACTCCCCCTTAACTGTCTAATTTTTTAAGTTAAACTGTGAATCTAGAGACTTAAAAATTGAGTTTTGGTTGCGGCCAAATACCAAAAATCAAGGTTTCAAATATGATCCATCCACTTAGGCCTAAATATGGCCCAATACCACTTATGATCCAATTATAAGCCTTAATTAGGGTTTGATAGACCCATTAGCCATCCACACACGTTATCTTTTAATTCAAGTTAACTCTTAATTATTTAATTTATCCTTAATTATCAATTAACCTTAGGTTAATTTCTTCATGATGTTACAGTTAGCCAGGCAAATAATGAGGGTAATTCTCTCAAATATATTTTTGCATTTACACAAATTTGAACATAAACAATGTTAAATAGCTTTTTACTGCATTTAATTCAAGATATATTTTTTGACAAATCATTGCATTTCTCTTGCATTAAATTAATTTTTATTTTTCCAATGAATTATCAAATTTTGATTGTTCAATAAAATGAAATTGATCAATATCAAAATTCAAAGAAAACATTTGAATTTCAAATTCATATTTACTTAAAAAGCTTTTAGTTTTATATGAATATTAAACCACAGGTGGCATTTATGATGAGGAAGTACTCCTTGACGAACCATGAACATTTGTGATCGCTTTTAATTAGTTAATGCATTGTCAGTTTATGTTAAAAAAAAAAGATCACCTACACATTAACAAAGGTTGGTCCAATTGATAAAGATTTAAGGCATAACTCATAAGATCATAAGTTTAGAATTTGGGCCATAACTTATAAGGTCATGAGTTTAAGTCTCACTGTCGATGTGAGGACTTCATTGGTAAATAACCTATAAGTATTTTTGTAAGTGTTCTTTGAATTTTGAGGCATTCCTTGGTCTTGATAAGCTCCCGACACTCAACTCACTTAAACTTTATGTAATAAGAAAAAAAAAATCATTAGGCAAGTTGAGTGTCATTGAGCCACAAGGGCTTAAGCGCAAAAATAAATCTTTGTTATATATAGTTAAAGAACTTTTATTAAAAAGTTTTTCTGTGCTACAAAAAGAGTTTGTAATCCCCATGGTTTTTTTTAGGGGGGTTAATTTCTACTGTTCAAAGCATAGCAAGGACAGATTCTTATGGTTCAATTAAAATTAAATGTGGTTATTTCAAATTTGGGAAACCCTTTCCCACAGCTCCATTGCGAACTCTAGCTGGGAATTTCCACGGTGCTAACAAGAACCGTGGGAGAGTTTAGTTGGAGCAATATATATAATTCATATGCAGTTCAATGCTTCTCATTTTGTGACAGATCCTAAAAGTGGTGAGCATGAGAGATTATTTTGGCGTTCAAAACATCAGCAGGAATAAGAGAATAAGAAGCCTTCCAGATCTATTTATTATTATAATATTGGCAAAAAAAGATATATTTATTATATATTTGAAATTTGAAATTTAATAATAACAATTTACAATATCTGCTCTAGATCGATCTAATGTTATTAAGTACGCAACTTAAAGTTGTCAATTAAACAGATAGCTCATTGGTTATAAATTTAGAAGGAGCTAGGTATACCAATAATTTAACCACAGGCTTTTACTTATATACACACGCACAGAGTTGAACTTTAATCTCATTAATAAACAGAAATACCTCGCATTATAATGTGCAAATATTCATATTGTGTGGCTTAAAATCATTTTTTCCAGTAGAAGAAACAACATATATGTAAACCAATATGTTTGCAACATTTAGGAGAGATGAATTCTACTAATTAATTAATTTTTTCTTCAATTGTATCTATACGCATACTGCAAAAATTGGGGGGGGGGGAACATAATCACTCTAATTAATTGTAGTATATATTTCAATGTATTGTACTTTTACAATAATAGTGAGGTTTTAAATCTACATTGCTCTGTGACGATGATGATAGAGATATACTTACATCACAAGTGATCTTCATCTTCATCTTCCACAACTTCAATTTTCTAACTTTAACTTTCACTGGTAAGCGAATGAACACTACAAGCGGGATTTTCCCATTTGAATACTTACCAGCATCATCGTCATCCCTCATAATAGTTTCTGCAAATACCTGAGACAATGCTTCTGATGAAGATCTGAGCACCAAATCAAAAACCCTAATCTCCTTCTTTCCATTATAAAACTCAGGAGGCAACCCACGTGCTATCTCTTGCTTGTCATGAGAAAGTGAAGCTCTTCCACCTTTTAAATAATAAAACCCTATATGACTATTAGGGTTACTAGCTTCCATGGACAAGTTGTACGTAACATTATCATCAAAATTATTCTGTGGTGATAAGTATTTTAGAGAGAGACTCTGGATGATGAAGGTGGGGCTTCTAGGGTTAAGTGAGAGGTAAAGTATACAAACAATGATGATGAGAAGCAGAATAGAAGTGATGAAGATGAGAAAGATACGCGACCAGGTGGATGAGAAGCAATGAGATCTGTGATTATTATTATGATCTGAATTGTGATGATCTGAAGAAGAAGAAGAAGAAGAAGAAGAAGAAGAAGAAGAAGAAATGCTGTTGTTGTTATTAGTAGGAGGCAAGACTCTGCAATAAACTTGGTCTGATGGAATCTGGACAATCCTTAGGCTTGTGATTGAAGCTGTGGTAGAGGAGATTGAGGTGATGAGGTTAGACGAAGTGGATTGTAGATGATGAAGGGTATTATTGTTATTATTAATTTTAATAATATTATTATAATTATCATCATGGAGAGAGATTATCTCATGATCAGAGTGAGGAGGAGGAGGAGGAAGAAGAAGAGTTTGATGGTGTTGTTCATGCATGATGATCCAAAATCGACCGGTTAGGGTTGCAGGTCCTCTATTCTGATTGATGGATGAGAGAGAAGAAGAGTGTGTGAGACAGAGAGAGAAGAGCGGGGGGAGGGGGAATTGCTAGTGGAACTACTAAATACTAATTAAAGAGAAGCTATGAGTCCTATAATTGGAAGGTTTTACTTGGTATAAAATTTTTAAAAAAGACAGAATAATAATATTGCAATAAAAAATAATTTTAATTAATATTTTATAAAATCAAAAACTTCTCATTAGATCATTAAAGGTAATAAGTTGAAATTTACTAGTGCACAACAAAATTATTAATTAATAGAAATAAAACCCTCAACCACGGTGAGAGAAAGTCCTTTAATTTGAGCTATATTTTCAGAATCAACTTCTTGAATGTACTTCAATCTCAAATTTTTAACTTTGTTTTAAAGAACTTTTTAAAAGTTTAAGATTGACTGTTAACCTTAATTAACCTTGGTTTTGAAACTGACGTAGAGGCATAATTGATTAGTTTAACTTGTCAAACATATGCTGTGAACATCAATTTTAAGATGGGAAAACTAATCTGTCCATCTTTATAATTTTATTGGATTTTTTTTTGAATAAGGTCCTTTTAATTGTTTTCCTTTTTATTAGATGCTTATATTTCATAGAGTTGAAGCTTTAATTTAGTCCCTTCCGTTAATGAATATTCCAAACGGCATCAATACATGTTGATAAAGGATGACATGAAGGTACCGCTACAATTATTTATTTATTTCTTTTGCCAAACTCACTTTCTCTCTCCCCTTTATATTTTATTGTGAGAGCTCACAACTGTCTCTCTCCTCCTTACTTCTCTCTCAATCTTTTCTCCATCTTTGAATCCTTCCTTGCTGTCGATTAGCTCCTTTAGTTCGTCCCACAATTTTGAACAATAGTGTGGAGGAATATAACCCAACTAAAGAAGTTGATAACCTGGATAACTTGACAGTTAGTTGTCCAGGTTATAATTTTTACTTGTCACGATCCTAAAATGACGTAGTTTTGGGAGGTTTTAAAAAAAAAAACAGAAACCTGAAATGCCTTCTCTTTCGCCTAAATTTCTCCCTCACTCTATCTTGGAAACCTTGCCGAGTCACCATCAAGTCTTTCTCCCACTGTCTAGCTTGTTTGAACTCTACCTCGCTGTAGAGTTTGCAAGTTCATTTTCATAGTCTCGCCATTCAATTTTGTTGTTTTTTTTTAGTGCCTATTGCCCTCATCTCGCTAGAGCTAGTTGCAATGGCTTTAGAACTACCCTTTCCTTAAACCGTGTCGACTTTAACTTGATCAACTTATTAATCTTCACTAAGTTAATCAAACCTTCAAAGTATAGGCAAAGAGGTTAGAACACATGAGAGAATTGAGAACTTGAGAGCTTTATTTCTTTGCTTCCTTGGCCACCATAGTATGGCATTATTAGCAAGGAACTAAGCAATGGTATGTACTTTAGTTTGATCATTGTTTATCCCCAAGGTGTTAGCATATTACTCCATTTTCCATAAGAAGTTCTCAACCTCATTGGCATCTCGTACATCCTTAAATTCCTTTAGGAAGGTCCATCTTCCCTTCTCTTACTTAACTATTTCCATCTAATAGTAGATTCCTTCCTTTTTTTTCCTAGAAAGTCTTGAAAGTGTTAAGTTGTTGCCGCATTGCAGTGATGGTGTGACATCCTCAATTTCAAAATTTTCAATTTCTAAGTGTTAAAAAGGGATAAATTAGTAAGTTTGGATGATTATGATTTAATGGTGTTTTTGAATTGCTAATAAGGTTGTTGGACCTTTAGGCAATTTCAAAAGTAGACTGGGATAAAGTTCGAGTCAATCGAGGTTGAGGGTGGCCAAAATGGCACATTGGCTTGATGTACAACATGCCACCACACATAGCCCGTTTCTAAAATAAATTAGATGTGAGCTAAGTCTAATTTCAATAGAGGAAGGGAAAAAACACAAGAGGTGTAATGCCCTTCTCCAAACAGTACAAACTCATGCACACATGGCAAACTTAGGTAACCAGAAGTCCTCAAGCTTTCGAACTACCAATTAATTATAGAACTTGTATTTGGTGCTCATCACTCGTGTTCATCAATCACGGCGTCAGTCCAAATTGATCTATTTTGTTCATTTAAATTAATTTTTAAATATTTTAAATATTATATTTATTAATATACAAAATGTAAAAAAATTTAAAATTTTAATAAATCAATTCAATATCAATATGACCAGCACATATTTAATCTAATAATCCAATTTAACATTAAAATTTTTATAATTTTATAATTTGACTATCGGAATAGACACTAGACAATTCAAATATACTCTAAATAACCTAATTTAATATTAAAAAATTTATAAATTTTATAAATTAATCATTTAAATGTATTATAAGTAATCTAGATTTAATATTAAATTTTTTATTTTTCATTTTAATAGATATAATATTTAAATTATTTAAAAATTAATTTAAAAGAACTGCAGGGATTATTTTAGGCTGAAATAGAGGCCAGGAAAGCATTGATGAGCACCGAATGCGAATGCTTAATTAGAGTTATTAAAATATAGAAAGTTATTATTATTAGAAAGTAGGGATCCAATAATCTTTTTTAAAACATAGTTTATACACTTAACTATATGTATCTATGCACAATAGAAGCATTAGCATTGCATGAATACCATAATATAAAACACAGGGACAAAATTGTAACTTTTGGTAAACTGAGATATATGTCATGGCATGTGTCACAAACCACTACTATAAAAAGAGCTTTTCACATCACTTTTTTCGGGCATTTCACATCCCTATTATGGAAGACATAGATTTAAGTAATATAGAAAGTTAACTTATCCACATCACTTTTATGAAGGAAGAATTCATGTTGCTTTTTGCAAAAAAAGGAATGTGGTTTCTCCTGAAACAAATATTAAAATAATTTAAATTTAAATATTTTCCATTCTCATTTTATTATTCCAGCTAGCTATAGATTTCACGAACCTAAAAAAAATAAAAGAAAAATAAAACCACATCAAAATTGATGAAGCAGCTAAAGATAATAAAAAAAGCTCAAGCAGAGATCATAAATATTTACAAAGAAGAAGAGTTTGTTGGTGAAAGTGACACTAACCAAATATTTCTTGCTTAGGGAAAGAAGAGGGGAAGCCATGGATCTCAGCCATGGGTCTCAAAGTTGTCTATCAAATGGGAGAAAGAGGAGGAGACGAGAAGAAGAGAGAGTTGTTTATCAAATGCTCACTGTTGAATGCTAGCCTTGGGTCTCTATCCAACTTGTCAGTTGTAGATCTCGATGCTGTGAATCTTGATGCAATGGGAAGGAGAAGACAGAGTTGTTGTGTGGAGAAGAGGAGAGATCTGCAATGGGGAGGAGAAGAGAGACTTGTTGTCGTCGAAAGAAAAGAGGAAGAAGAGTTAGATTTCAAAATACAAAATGATAGAACGTGGGAGGAGCTCAATCTGATTTAAAAAACCGATTGAAATTCACGTCGTTTTTGAAGAAAGTGATGTAGAAAATGTCCAAAAAATTAATAATTTAAAATAATTTATTTTCTACAATCCACGTTCCTTTTTTTTTTGGTAGTAAGTTATCCATGTCACTTTTTTCAAAAAGGGAGGTGAAAAATTTTAAAATTTAATAATTTAAAATAATTTATTTTTTATAATCTATGCACTTTTTTTAAAAAATGAAGTGATAATCCATGTCATTTTTTTAAAAAAGTGACGTGAAAAATGTTCAAAAATTAATAATTTAAAATAATTTATTTTCTAATATCCACATTCTTTTTCTTAAAAAAGCAACGTGGTAACTTACCCATGTTGCTTTTTTAAAAAAGGGATGTCAAAAATGTTTAAAAATTAATAATTTAAAATAATTTATTTTTTACAACCCACGTCCATTTTTTTAAAAGCGAAGTATAAGTTATCCATGTATTCCACGTCACTTTTTTAAAAAAGAAATGTAAAAAATATTTAAAAATTAATAATTTAAAATAATTTATTTTTTATAATCCATATCTCTTGTTTTAAAAAAGCGATATGGATAACTTACCATGTCACTTTTTTAAAAAAGCAATGTGAAAATTTTTAGAAATTAATAGTTTAAAATAATTTATTTTCTACAATCTTTATTTTTTTTAAAGCAACATGGTAAAAAAATAGAGGCGGTGACAATTTTGTAAATAAATGTTGAATATGTAAGACTATCAACGTTACTTTTTTAAAAATGTGATGTGGTAAGTTATGTATGTCACTTTTTTAAAAAAGTAACGTTGATAGTCTTAAATATTCAACATTTATTTACAAAATTGCCACCGTCTCTTTTTTTTATATCACTTTTACAAAAAGTGACGTAAAATGTATATTTTTAATAGTGTATGTTGCAGCATATGATACAAATCCATTAATTCTGGTTATATGTCATGAGCAGTGACATGTCAACATGTGCTGCGGCGCATATGATAGTTTTTCTGTCGTCATGATAGTTCATTAATGTGAATTTTCGACATGCGTTATTTTTAAATATGATATCTGATTAGGGTGGCTTAAGTGCCCATATAAAGCTTGTTTTAAAATCAAACTAATAACACATGTTTCATCACAATTCGATATTTCTTTTTAAAATTGGACACTTGGATGCAATTTGACAACTTAAATGTCATTTTACCACATCCAAGCATCCTCAAATCAAACCTTATGTCATTAGCTGCTAACAAGGAAGCGACTCATCCAATAAAATACTTTTCACCTAATTGACCACACACATCATCAATTTTGTCATTATACATAATTTTGGCCACTTAATTGCCCTTCTTATACAAAAGGGCCTATAAAATATCTCAAAAATATATTTTAATCTTGATTTTTAAACTTTAAGAGCCCCTTAAAAAGTTAGGTTTTCTACAATTTTTTGAGTATCCTAAATATATATTATGCATTTTTTATAATATAAAAATAATTAATTTTAAAATAAAAATTTATTTTTAAAAATGGACAATATGGGTGTTCATGCTAGTCTAAATAAGCTTGAAGAGATTATTGAAATTAGTCTTGGCTATTTGAGCTGTTTTATAATAAACCCAACCCAAAGCTAAGCCCAAATTTACAAAAATTCAAATTTTATTTCAAAATTAGTTATTTTTATATTATAAGAAAATGTAAAACATATTTTTGAAAACATTGCGAATCTTAAAGTCTAAAAATTAAGATTAAATTTTTTTTGAGATATTTTATAAATATTTTAAGTTGAGAGTTTTTTTAACTCCATGTCAACCTATTTTTACCTATTGTAGTTTTTTTTAAATTTATTTTGTTTATTAAAAAGTCCAACTCAGCACAAACTTAATGGTGATGGTGAATGTTAGCAATTTTAATTCTGTTTGTGTGACGTCAACATTTTTTAAAATTATAAGAATCAATGCTGTAAATGAAAAAAAATATAAAGACTTAAAACGCTTAAAAAAGTAGACAGAAAAATATAAGAATCAAGAATAATGTTTTGTCTATTTTTAATAACAACCTTAATGCTTATACGTTTTTATTTGAATCATCAAGAATACTTAAAAAGAAAAAAAAAGCATGTTTTCTTAGTGCCGATGCAGTATGCACAGCCCTCTTTTTAAAGATGATGTTTCACCATGGCCTCTTTATTAAAAAATAGTTTTAATGAAATAAACCTTTTTGATGTTGTATTATATATTTTCAAATTAGTCATCAATATAATAATTACAAGATGCTCACTTTTATTTACTATTAATATTAATATTATTAACATTCAATTTAATAAACAATGTAAAATGTAATATTTATTTATCAATTATAAATAATACTAGTATAATAGAATTGATATAATATGATATAATATTTATAATAATAATCACTTATCAACCCCAAACAATTATTATTAAAACAATTAACAAAATTTTGTTTTTTTTTTTTGGTCTGACCCCAAAAAATGAAATGTCAACTGGACTATCACCTTGTGCATAATTTCTCGCTAGGTCTTCAGTTCTTCAGTAACGCTGTAGGGTTCGTTTTCTGCTAAGTTCGGAGCTTTCCGAAGACCCAATGAGCTTGGCTCTTCTCCAAGGCTATTCTTCGGCCGAAGAAGAAGAAGAACAAGGAACCATCGGTAATGGGACCCATTATCAAAATTCCTCGGATGACGACGGCGGTGTCGGCGACAGCGACGGCGGCGAAGCCTCCGTAGCTGCTCACCCTTCACTCCGCGACAGATCTATGTTCGACCTTCCACAACCTTCCGCCGCGCCCGGACTTCCCTCTGCTTTTGACGCCTTCTCCGAAGTAATTTTGACCCTAATTTCTTTCTTTTTTTAAGGTATCGTTTGGTTGCAGTGAATTATCTGTAAAATGCGGGAAATTGGAAGTTGTTATTGTTCTATTAGGGGGATAAGATACAGTATTTTTGTCTTCTCTTCGTCTGGAACACGGAAGCAGAAAAAGAACCCTTCAATTTTGTCATTTATTGAACATCTGATTGATTCTGTTCCATTCTGGAGGTTTCTGGGCCGCCTCAATTTCTGAACAATAGCGTAGAGGAATATAACCCAACTAAAGAAGCTGATCAACAGCAAGGAAGGCATGGTGGCCGGAGGCATCGCAGGGAGAAGAAGGATTTACCTTCAGGTAAAGTGCAGTATTTATTTTTTGTTTTTGTGGGCTCATTCATATCTCAGTTCGGATTTTGGATTGTAATTTATGTTTATCAGTGTTTCTTTAGTTCTTTATTAGAATGCCTACAAATAGGCTTATTATCGGAATTATTAGGATATCACCCTTGAGTATTTTGGTGTATTGAACTATTGTATTTTGGGTATTTCATTTGTCATTATTCAGTTTCTTTCGTTCCTCTCATACATCACCAGTGCATTGACATGCTTCGCTTCTGACATCTTTACTTCTCTTATTGTGATTTACTTCTACAACGGTGAACTTTAAAAGCAAGTCACTTTGTTAAGCAACTATTAGTTTTGTAGTTATAGCTATAAAAGCAAGTCAATTTATTAAGAAGATATTGATTTCTACGTCCAGATTATGTATTTTTTTCTTAGAGCTTAAAAGTTTTTAAATTAAAACAGTTAAAATTTCAACTGAGATGCTTATAAATCCTTTTACAGGTTCCTGTGTAATAAGCACTCATCTATAATGATTTTTTTTTTTTTGCTAACCATTTTAAAATTCTAGTTGATTTCATTGTGAACCCCAGTGTCCTGACAGTTCTACTTATCTGCCCCTGATTGCACAATTTGGTTTCTTTTCTTTTTTTGAAAAATTATACTTAATATTATTGAGGCACAAAGCACGATACTGGTTGGGTTGCACTCGTGTGAATCAATGTAATGGATTTTCTAGCAAAGCCTACATTTGCTCTATTAGGTCTTAAATTAATGTCAGATTATATTTTCCCCATATAGTTGTGGGATTCGGCTTGTTGGAGTTCTTTTTAATATGCTGTGGATCTTTTCGGACTATTTGGAACGCATTTTGTCGTTCCATTTTTGAAGTTTTGGTTAAAGGAATTCTATGTAGGGAAAATTAATTTGACACTTATTAGAGGACATGATAGAGTATTTGCTGATATTGCTAGAAAATCCATTGCATTGACACAAACATGCCACAATCATATTATCTACAATTTTTCAGATGAAAAATCAACTTGTTCTATCACTAGTAAATAAGTATAATGGTAAATACATGGCAGTTCATGGTGAAACAAACTAGAATTAATAACTAGTTGCGCAAAAAAGTCATTATAGATGATGAGTCATCATAAGATGAACACGTAAATTGGAGAACTGTTTCAAGTCAATATTTTCTTTTGCTTCCTTTGTTTCGTTATTCTTATTTTATTGGGAAGCCTTCAACAAATTTTGAAGATATTGTTTCAAATGCTAAGGAGTTACCCTTGGAAAATGCTTTTGGCGACAATTGCTTTAATTTCTGCTAAATATTTGTGCTATGGATTATGGAAATTGCCAATTGAGAGGGATAGGTTTATTCAACTCTGCCTATGTTTCATAGTTGCCTCTGTTGAGGATGATTGTGTTAAGCTTTCAACATCTAAAATAACTCTGTCAAATATATATGTTATAAATCCAAGACACAACCATGTTGTGAGATCAATCCTTGTAACCAACTTCACTTGGTGAGGTGAAGTTTATTATTGTTGTAGTAGAGAGACATGATCATTTGCTAAGTATTGTTACATTAAAGTGACAAGTTAATTCAGCCTGTACTTCATTAAATACAATGATATTTAATCAGTTTCTCCATTTAGTTATAATTCCTATTGAATTTTCATTGCAAAAGGATACCATCAATGCTTTGTTTTAGGTGCTGTGGTTGAGGCTAAACCTCAGCTTGTTGGAATCCATGAACGAGTAAGAAGTGACATCAATGGTAGTGAACCACCATTGCCAGCTGCTTTGGGTGCATCATCAGGAGGCAAGAAGGTGGCAACTGCAACCAATCCTAATGCCGAAGATGCTGCAGACCTTTTGAGGTAATACATGGTCCCCTTCGTAACTAATGCAATTTTTTTTTTTTTAAGGTTTCTCTATATTAGTGCTGAATGTAGTGAGTACTTAAAGCACTTAGCATTCCTGTTGTGAAAGCGTTCTAAGTAGGCATATTTTGGAGACGACATCATCCCTAATTAAATCCTCAAAAGATGGCATCATCCTTATCACCTTCGTACTCCGTAGATTTTGTTGCTTCGTACCCACGATTATGAGTTGTCTTTGGGGTATGGAATTGATATTGACAGCAACCAAAATAGGGTTTTGACAGCAACCAAAATAGGGTTTTACTATTTGGAGATGCTCAAAATAGACACAGAGAAGACATCGACTTGAATTGTAGAACGAATTGAGGGATAAGCTGAAGTGACGTTTCACTTGTGATCTAGTCTCTTGTTCAACATGCATGCATGTCCGAATATATGCCTCTTCTTTGGCTTCTAATATGAGAACTTGGCTTTTTCTTTAGAATGTGCTTGCAGTGTGGGATTCCCAAGACATTTTCCGGTGCACGAGGAATGGTATGCCCTGTGTGTGGCGATCGCCCTCCGCAGGATCCAAGCGTGGAGTCTAAGAAGAAAGGATCAACTATTAAAGACAAGGAAAAATCCAAAAGGATGAAGGGCCAGTCATCTCATGCAACTTGGAAAAGTGAAACAGAGATGCAGTTAAGACAGCAGTATGATTAACAATATCAAAGGATATCAAGATCCCTACTTAATGTACCACCATGCCACTGAGTCTGACCACATTGTTACAACTGGAATACCATTTGTGGTCAAGAGTGTTGACAAAGAATCGAATGAAAGTAGTTTAGGCTCTGTAGTTTACCCTATGCTTGTGTACCACTAATGATGAGTGATGTACCTTTTCTTGATTGTAGAGTTGCATTGCACATATTGGTTACATTACACCATATATTGGTTTCTGGCTTGATGATATGTCGAGTATATATATATATTTTTTAAAGGGTAAAATATAAGGTTATGGCAATGCTCTATAGAAAAATACCAAACAGACTGCTCTAGGTACTTCTATTTTCTTTATTGATTCATTCCTTTGTAAAGGTGGTATCATAAAATCATCACAATTGTTTGCTTCAATGTATCAGTGACTTTCCAATTCTTGATCAAGAGGTGTCTAATTTCTTCTGTCAGGGTTTGTATTTGACTCCTAACATTGTCTTTGTTAGTTATATTCACTGCTTCAACAGTCACACGCAACCATAACTTTGCAAAGGCCTATTCCCGGCAGAATCTGAGCCCTTGAAGAGTACCATTCATCTCCATGACAAGATGTGTAGCCAAGTTTCTTCGTGAAACATATACAGTTTCCCACTAAATCTTTGACTTGTCTTCCACAAATAACTTCACCGACAAACTTGACAGAACCATCAACATCTAGACAAGCACCATTCCGTGGTGACCGGCTATCTATGGAAGTAGATAGTCATTTCCAAGTCATCGTCTCAGTTCTACATTTTGTTCTTCCCATGCAGCCGGCAGGCATTTGAAGATCAAGGAAATCTCTAAGTGTAGTCAATTAATAAACGCCTGCGCCTAGATTACTTGTTATATATATATATATATATATATATATATTTGTGTTTGGGGGTCTTCCAATAACTCCGGAAATTACAGTGGCTAAGACATATTGGCAAGTCAAATCAGCTCATGCTATTGCTCGACGGAATTTTGTATTTTTTATTTTTTAAGCATGAATAGTAGGCTTTACTAATTGTAGAGTTTATCTCTTCCAAAATACGAGAGCAAATGGTCAATTTTTTTAACTGAATTACTATACTCACAAAAAGACTAAGATTCATGCTTTAAATAACAAAAACCTCCACCACTCATTAATTTTAGAAACATTTGAATGAACATAGCTTAGAATTCTTGAAACGTTCGGTTTGATTAGTAGTGAATTTGTAACTTTTCTGCGTAATATTTATTACACTTTTATAATTATTATTTAATTAATATACTGATGTTTATTTTTTTTTAATTAACGACATAAGTATAATCCCGGTCTCACCCAATTATGTTGGGTTTTATATTTCAAAAAGGTGCACAGCAAAATTCATTAACCAAAAGGGGAAAAGCGGTAATTTAACACTTTTAAAGAGATCAAAGGGTTAGTTAGAAAAAAAAAAAGATCGAAGGGTCAAGTAGGGAACAAAATGTATTAAAGGCATAACTTCATATTTGACCATGAGTGAAATTATTTTTGGAAGAATTACAGTAAAGTTCCAATCCCTAATGAAAAAAAAAAAATTATTTCCCCAGTCCCATTTACAGGTGACTAGGATCGAAGGGTAATTAATTTTCATATTTGGGACCTATATATAATTCTCCCTTAATTTCATTGATAGTCACGATGTTTGTTTGCCTCCATGACACACAGATTTCAACAATCTAATCATGCACTGATATTACATGTCATAATTAAATTACACTTTCAGTTTCTCGAATTGACCCTAAATTAAAAGCATTTGCTGATAATAGATATCATGTTAACACAGATTATGGTTACGAACTAAAAAAATGACGCAGCAAAATATATACCAGAAGTCATACACTTGGACAGGTAAACTTAGCATTGGGACAAAATGCAGAACATGAAGAACACATGGCAAGGTTTGAGTTCCCCCATGCATCTTGTTCAAGAGCAGTGAGTTCCTCAGGAATAACATGTTTTGATGATCCTAAAACTATAGGAAGAATAAAACTCCAAGTTGCCACAAACGTGCGTAAAAATGGAACACACCAAAAAAAAAAAAAATATATGAATGAAACCTGTCAAACCATCAGGTGGAACAGTCATTTGTGTGATCCCCAGGAATATTTGTTCCTGCAATAACGTCCACTTGATTAGTGAAACACAAATAACAGCAGCCTAGCTAAGGGGAGAAATCTGGTGCAATATATGAGGCAGCTGAAGCAGCTTACATGATACCCCTACATATAAGTCTCTTCCGATGGGTCTTTGATTTGAGACCTTTTACAAAATCTAATAAATATTTGACTCAATTCCAAATATGCCCTAATCTCTTTCAGTCAGCTTAAACAATGAAGGCTAATTCTAGAAGTTATAAAATTTATTGATAATTAACTAATTTTAACTAATGTCTTTGATCTCAGTAAAGAAGTTAACAAGGCATCCAAGTATTTGGATGGTTTGTACAACATCTACAGTACAGCACGCGAAATAACACATTAACAAGGCATCCAAGTATGCCAGCACATCATCATTTATAATGACATTAAATAAGACGCTATGCACCACAATAATGATAACACTAATCTCACTTTTCTGTAGGCATTAACCTCCGAAAGTTTTTTGATCCGCTCCATTAATAGCTTCTTCCTGATTCTCAGTCCCCACCGGTCGATTGGTCACTGACGGATGCATCTGCTGTTAATCAAACCCTGGAAATGAGACTAGCAGCAGCCAATAACAAATATGTACCTTATTGAAACACTTCATATACACATGAATTACCATAACATTAGTTTTCAAAGGTAAGGTATCGTCAAGAGGCAACCTAGATGGATCAGAGGGCCTGTGAAACAGTAAGTGTGCTATAGACCGATCAATGGGATTGGTGTCAGTTTCCAAATCCATAAGTCCAGTACACCTGCATAGGGCTATGTGTTAGACTTGGCGGAAAGGGTATTCAATCAACATTTAAAATACCAATGGATATCCAAGCAAACTAGGGAAAAGCATGCAGCAAACTACGTACAAGCTTCCTCCCAGATCAAAAATGTGATTGTGCCTTTTCTGTCCCTTCTCTTGAGAAAATTTTATTTCCCAATGTATCATGATTAGTAAATATACTTCTAAACAAAGTTAGATATGTACCAAATCTCACACTATCATAAACCGAGTTGAGAGGGGTACACTCTTTGCCCTCAATACCCCAAAGAAGACTAGATTTTGCTGTCAGCGGAGACTACTCCTTGTACATCACCAAAAAAGTTATGTATATAGAGTGGCATCATTGAAATAATCCAACACCTGACATTTACTCGTGACATTGTCCTTCCTCAATCTCATACGTGTCATACTCCATTTTATTAAGATTAGTGTGCTATTTGAAATTTAAATGCTACATTTTAAACGAATCACAGGTGCCAGAGAAGCATAAAGAGGAAATCCAGCAAATCAGCTAAACTACCATAACTGGTAATTATGTCGCATCAGTGTTCTAACCATCGTGCTGGTTCTCTAATAGAGGAATATTGACCTGAGTAGACAAGAAGACTTAAGAAACTACCTGCTTGGGTTCTGCACCATAGCTTTGCAAGCTTCAACACCTTCTCCAACGCTACAACTTGTGTTTGCACAAGCATGTCTTTGTTCAGCACTCTTAGCCAAGCGATACAAACTATCTCTTAGGCACATTTTGGTTCTAATATCCAACTGCACTCAAGCAAATTTTGTCATGTACAAGAATATGGTCAACAAATTGGTAAGTTAATATCAGTGATTCTGACGTAGCCAACAAACTGATTGGCACTGCAACATGAAGTACTATCCTAATTTTTTTGCTTTAACAAAATGTAAGGAAACTCTCTTAATGTATATCATCAAGACTAAGACTATGTAAACTGAAGCGCACCCTTTTAGAATAAATTATGCAAAGCAAAACACCATATTTAAACCAGATTGCATAGTGATCAGAAAATAGTTGTTTTAATTAGCTTGCTTCTGTCAGGAGGAAAAGCTTGCTGCAGAGAATTTTTTGCCTAAAATGTCTATATTTCTGTTCCCAAAGCTTTTTCACTGCAATCCTGTAAGGAATTTCCAACGTAACAATTCAACTCCAATTCTAAACCTATTAAATATCAAGGTTGAGTAAGCACACTGACTAGAAAAAATTAACATGCCACCCTCACTTGTACATGGATGATCTACCAACATAATCTGCCTAGTGTTTTCCATGTCACACAAATGGTCTGCAGAGAAAAAATCCATATTGAGATCCCAGTTACACCACATCTCATCAAGGAGAGCAGTCCCTTAACAACGTAGGAATTGTGGCCTCATCTCCGATTTGTCACTAAAGTAAAGAAGCCAAAGTAATGAATCTAAAGGAAAAAGTAACCCCAATGCATTATGGTGTCTTAAAGATCAGTAACTTATGCAGTGCTTCACGTTCAATTGCATCAAGGCTTCTGCTATGCTACAATGAGTGCATTGGCTGGTCCTCAAAATGAAGACAACAATCCCAACCTCAAACACCTATCATCAAAAAATTCTACGACTGGAATTCAACCTCATGCCACTCGACTCAAAAGTGATGAATCCCAGAGAGGAGTCAATCCGTTGAGTTAAAGGTTTGTCTCCTTGATTTTCATGCAAAGCATTGTGATTTTGAGTAGACAATGAGATCTTATAAGCTACAAAACTCAAGGTTTTGGTGAGATTTTGCAACAATAAATTTAAACATGTGCTCCTCAAATACTTGTTCTGGAACAACCATATGCTACAGCAACATTGAGGCCGACTACATAAGTTGTCTAAATTGATGTTCATCTTCACACAGGTTTAAATTTTAAAGAATATCAAGGTTTGTTGTGATTCTTTCTCTTTTATCCTTTACCCCTTTTTCTGATATATGATCCTTTATCTTCAACTTAACAATTCTAACGACAAAACTTATTGTCCAAATTTACAGCCCGCTTAAAAGGGAAGTTCACCAGTGTGAGATGAAATTAAGAAAACCATATTTAGAGCCCCCATCCTTCTTTTCCCCCCTTGATCACCTATAACACATCTTATTTGATCCTGAATCATTAAAATACTGTAGAAGTTAACAGCCCAACATGAAGAATTTCATGAATTCATATTTACAACATTTAAACGGTTGAGCAAAATTAGATTTCAAGTGCAAAGCATGTTCATAAATTTCAGTACCTGATCCATGACCAGTTGTAGCTGACGAAAGCTAGTGGCTTCAAGGGAGATTTCCTCCAGTGCAGAGCTCATGGATGAACTTTCCTGCACATTTGATGAGTCTATTTCCGGCGAAAATCCTATGCTAACTGCTCCCACTACACTATGACCTTCATTCTCATTTTCAAACTGGTGCAATTGCTGTTGAGCTGAACCTGGACTGCTAAATGGTACTACAGTCACCATATTTCCCTTTTTTGAACTCTTAGATAGTGCCAGTGCATCATAGCTGTGGAATAACTTTTCTCCCTTTTCAATTGTTTTTAAGGAAGCACCTTGCGTGGAATGACCATGAATACTGGCCATGTTTGATGCAGATGATGATACTTGTAGAGGAGATGGATTGCCTTCAAGATCAGATCTGGATCCAGATGAAATTGGAAGGAGAAAAGTGTGATTTGGTCCATTATTATAGTCTGGAACTTTCAGGGGAACTTCTGTCTGTGTGCCTGAATTAAGGTTTCGTTTATGTTGCAGGGTGCAAGCATAAGAATTAACCCTACTGGAAGAGGCTTCACTGGCTTGTTTCACATCTCCATATTGAGCCGGAGGAGGAAATTGATGAAAAGAATCACCATTTTCCAGGCAGTCATCTTTTATTATTCTTTCAGATGCCTTGGACAGCTTCCTTTGCATCTATGATTCATGAGATACAAATCAAGAGACAAGTAATAACACTGAGGATTGCTCAAATTAAGCTGACCAGGTATTCAGACACGATCACCGCTAAAAAAATCTACACTGCAAACCAGATAAATTTAACAAAACACTAAAAGAAAAAGGATCAATTTTTTTTTTTTTCATATTACAGAAGATCAAGCCCACTTTCACATTACCAGTTGCCACAGCACAAATGCCAAAACATGAAATGATATAAGCACAGAGCAGAAGGAGTGTTATTGCTTAATTTCCCTTCATGACACCCTACCAATTATAGTTCCAATCAGGATTAAAAATTTCCAGTTATCATAGATCCCGCCTATCATCTCATCAAATACATAGAAAGACTGAATAAGTTAGAAACTGCTGTTGATTTAGAATTTCATACGATGATGGTATTATTAGAATAATTTCACCTATGTTTATAGCCGGTCCTAAACCCACATAAAGGAAGAGGGTTGTGTTAGGCTATCAACAGCCAACATGAAACTTTAACTATCATGAACATGGACAATAGACGTTATAATGCTAATGCTAGGTCGTTGCCAATAAGTAACGCGCTGCATGGCTCGAGTACAGTGATAAGCTAGAGCTGCTGTATCGGCGCCTGGATATAGTGTTAAATGAGTAAGGGCTATTGTATTATTCTAGACGTGCGCGGCTAAAAAAGTTAGTCCATGAGAGCAAGATTAGATTTGGTACTTGGAATGTTGGGATATTGAATTGTAAATCTATAGAGGTTGTAAAGGTTATGATTCAAAGAAAAATCAATATCCTATGCCTGCAAGAAACAAAATGGCGTGGAGAAGAAGCTAGGGATATTCAAGGTTCCAAACTTTGATATACAGGAAAAGTAAGCACATGCAATGGAATAGGCATCATTATTGATAAGGAGTGGAAGAAGAATATTGTAGAAGTTAGCAGAATTGAAGATAGAATTATTTCCTTAAAAATGATAGTTGGACGTGGGATTGTTAATATTGTTAGCGCTTATGTGCCTCAAGTTGGAACAGAAGCTAGTATTAAAGAATTATTTTGGGAGAATTTGGAGGAGTTGATTCAACAAATATCACAGAGTGAAAAGATTTTTATTGGAGGAGACTTTAATGGGCATGTTGGGAGAGAGACTGGTCAATATGCGAGGGTGCATGGTGGTTTTGATTTTGGAGAGCTAAACAATGAAGGACAAACTCTTCTTGATTTCTCGTTGGCATATGATTTTAAAATTGCCAACACTTGTTTCAAGAAAAAAGATGAGCATCACATCACTTACAAAAGTGGAGCTTCAAGATCACAGATTAATTTTTTTTTTAGTTAGGAAAACGGATAGAAGACTCTGTAAAAATTGCAAGGTGATTCCTGAGGATGCTGTAACGACACAACACAGGGTCCTTGTTCTTGATATGTGTATTATGAGTAAAACTCATAAACATTGACAAGTAATAGCGCCAAAGATTAGGTTGTGGCAATTAAAAGGTAAAAAGCAAGATATTTTCAAGCGAAATCTTTTGGATAAAAGAATTTAGGAATCTAAGGGAAGTGCTAACATCTTGTGGAAGAATATGGCTAAAAAGATAAGGGAGGTTATAAAAATAGTTTTGGAAAAATCAAAAGGTTTTGGTCCGAGAGATAAGGAGTCTTGATGGTGAAATAATAGTGTATAGGACAAAATCAAACATAAGAATAATTTTTTTAAAGCCATACATTTGTATAACAATGAAAAAAATTGAGAAAGGTACCATAAAGTTAAGAAGGAAACTAAGAGAGCTGTGAGTGAAGTTCGTTCTAAAACTTTTGAAAAATTTTATAAGAGCCTTAAGACAAAGAAAGGAGAACGAAACATTTATAAGATTGTTAAGAGTAGCGAAAGAAAATCAAGCAATTTAGAACAGGTAAGATGTATAAAGAATGAAGAAAGAAGAATTTTAGTTACAGCTGATGAAATTAAAAATAGATAGGAGACTTACTTTTTCAAACTTTTCAATGATGGAGAGGGTTCGTCTAATAACTTGGAGGATTTAGTAACTCATGAAGGAGAATAAAATTCGTCATTTTATCCAATAATACGTGATAAGGAGATAAAGGAAACTCTTTAAAAAATGGCAAATAGTAGAGCCAACGGACCTGATTGTATATCTATTGAAGTGTGAAAATTTTCAAGTGAAGAAGGGGTGAGATGGTTAACTAAATTTTTTAATGTGATTTTATGGTCCAAGAAAATACCTGACTACTGAAAAAGAAGTACATTAATTCCTATTTATAAAATAAAGAAAATATTCAAAATTATACTAACTATAGAGGATTAAACTCATAAGCTACACAATGAAATTATTGGAAAAAGTAATTGAGCATAGATTGAGATTGGCAACAAGTATTTTCGAGAATCAATTTAGTTTTATGCCAGGTAAATCGACAACAGAGACAATTTATTTACTAAGAAAATTAATGAAAAAGTATCGTTGTAAAGATAAAAATTTACATATTGTTTTTATTGATTTGGAAAAAACATATGACCGTATACCAAGAGAAGTACTTTGAAAAGCCTTGAAAAAAAAAGGAGCATGGATTGCTTATATTAAAGTCATACAAGATATGTATGAGATGGTAAAAACTAATATACGAATGTCTATTGGTCAAACAAAGAACTTTTCTATAAATATTAGACTACATCAGGGATCATCTTTGAGTCCTTATTTGTTTAACTTAATCCTAAATGTTTTGAGGGAAAATATTGAAGGAAAAATCCTCAAATGTATGCTCTTCACAGATGATATAGTTCTTATAGTAAAGACAAGAGAAGAAATTAATTGTAAACTTGAATTATGGAAGAGGACATTAAAATTAAAAAGTTTTCGTCTAAGTAGGAGTAAGACAGAATATTTACATTGTAGATTTGGTAAAAGACTAGTCAACAATAATTTGGAAGTAAAATTGAAAGATCAAATTATATCTCAAGTGAAAAAATTTAGATATTTGAGAGCCATTATTTAAAATAATAGCGAAATTAGTGAGGATATTTCACAAGCTGAGTGGTTTAATTGGAGAGAAGCTAAAAAGTTATTAACAACCGTAAAGTGCCTAATAAACTTAAAGGGAAGTTTTATTGTATTGCTATCACACCGACTATGTTATATAATAGTAAATGCTTGGCTCTAATGGGACAACAAAAGTATAAAGTTGGAGTAGCAGAGATGAGAATGTTATAATGAATGTGCGAACATACACGTAAAAATAAAATTCAAAATGAACACGTACGTGAAAAAATGAAGGTAGCACCTATTGAAGAAAAAAAAAAAAAAAATCGTTTGAAATGGTTTGAGCATATACAAAAAAAAACTGCGGGAGGCACCAATAAGAAGACTGAAACATATAACTTTGAACCCCATTAAGAGGGATAGAGGAAGGCTTAAGAGAACATTCTTGAAAGTTGTTGAACGTGATCTCTTAATTAATAATATTTTTAAAAGCTTGGTAAATGATAGAGCATAATAGCGTCTTGCAATTCATGTAGCCGACTCTATCTAGTGGAATAAAGACTTGTTGTTGTCGTTATTGTTGATGGTATTATTAGAATGCATAAACCAAAAAAACTCATCGAGATGGATGAATATTCTCAGATGAACTACAATGCAATACATAACAAATACCAACATGGTTCTACTGAGATATCAAGCACAATCAGTTCTTCCCCCTTACTTTGTAAAATACATCTGGCCAAAAAAAAAAAAACAGATACTTTGTAAAATACTTGTATTCTCAAGATCTCAATGATTTATTTCACTTTTGGTAACAATTATCGCCATATCAGGGGCATGTGCCAAAATCATTACTTTTAATCCCTTTTAAGAATTGTGCAGGACCCACATGTCTAGTTAAGTAACTATTAGAATTCAGAAAACAGGAAATAAAATGAATTTTGCACCAACCTTATCTTTGAACCTCAAGTTATTTGTATAACCAGAATTCATGTCTAGTTCATTTAACATTGATAATTGACCAGGGACAGCATCATCATCAACATCAATTTGACATCTCAATCTTCTATCAACAGGAGATGGCTTTTCGTTGAAATCAGCAATTGGCGGACCTTCAATATCTGGTTTGGAATCAATTTTATAATCTGACATAATTTTCATTGGATCTGCTTCAGCACATGAAAATTCGAAGTCAGACTTCAATGCTTCATTAGATTCTTCCGTGCTGTGTGAAGATGGGAGCCAGCAGAACTTTTCTTCGTTATTAAGATTCCCCATTCCAAATGTTGAGTCACAACTTCTGCAATTTTAAAAGTGACAATCAAACAGAGGTAAAGGTGATAAAACTAAAACTTCAGTCAAGTAGGAGAAATCACTACCTAAACATCCGGACAACATCTTCAAAGTTTCCAATATCAAGCCACCCATCATTATCAAGAAAACTTAGTTCATTGTCAGTTTGTGATGTGTGGTTGATCAGATATTGACACACGCTATCATCTTCAACTACATGCTTGTCTCCCAAAATAGTATCATCAGCACAAAACTCACTACCATTAGAACCCATATTGCTGCTCTTGACACATCGATCAGACATCCCTGTATCATCTGATGCTAGTCTTTTCACCTCTTCACTTGTCTCAGCAGTGCATGAAGGAAACACGCCTTCAGGTGTTTGAGACCATGAATCCTTTTCCAACATCTTTTCCTTCTGAGACACTAAGCATAATTTCTCCTTATCATGAGTAGTGTGGCTAGTAACATTTTCAGCACTTTTACTATTATGGAATTCTTGGAAGGGTTTCTTGCAGCTATTGCCCTGTATTGCAAACTGTTCCTTACGTTCATCACCAGCATGGGGCACTATATGATCATCATTCTCACCAAATTCATCCCACACATTATCTTCAAGCTGTAATATCACAAGGACAAAACAAATATTTAAAAAATTACTCACAACAACCTGGCATCCTAAATGCTTAAACTATTAAGAATCCAAACAATGAATGGTTAATGTTAAATATTATATCGAAGAAATTTATAGGCCTTCACTTGACAGATAAGCTCCTAGGTTGTTATAGTTCTTCAAAGCCACTAATACCAAGTGGTCATAATTTCAATATCTCCCCCAAAATTCATGTGAAAGAAATCACGGTAGTGGCTTGGCTGAGGTACATCAAGGCACCAAAGGTTTGAGGAAGCGTTAAAGGAGCACACGATGTTGATATTGATGAACCATAAGCAAACTTCTATATGAGCAAATACCAGCAGAAAATTGAAAATTATACGGCTGAACTTGATCCATCTAAAGATTTGACCATAAGCTTCTACCTTGCCTAAAATAGCAGCCACTAGTATGATTTTAAACTCAGCACATTGGATAATACTAAGTATTTCACCAAGTCGCAAGAAACTTCAGCTCAAGAGCTTCAAAATCTAGTGATGGGCTATTGAGAGCCTATGTTCTAATAATTTTACAATGCCACCATAACGCCAAACGATACTTTCTCATCACCATCTGCTAAGACACAATCTCTAGTATTCTTTTAACCTCTTTACAATTTAAGTATTCATTCCCCTTTGATTTTTGAATAAAAAGGAAACCACTTCCAGAAGCAAAACAGGGTTCCTTAGCAATAAATCACTGAAGCAACTTCCGAGGAAGGACACGGGGCATAAAAAAACAGACATGTTGCTGGTGTTCTGAAAAATACATTGTCGGGCATAAACGAAAGAATACTTTCCCAATTAAAAGACATCCTCAAACCGCTTCTTCCTTCCCCAAGGTTATTTCGCCCTCACAAATCATGCTTGAATAGAGGATCTTAGACAAATATTATGTTTATAGCTTTGAATGTGCGATCAACATGCAATTCAAGGAAATCATCATTGTACGTCAATTTCATATATATTTATATAGATGAATTAACCATTGTTATCAAAATAAAACCGAAACAGTCAGTTCAACCAAAAAAATTGATAAATCAATGTTTCAACCAGTTCAAAACCTTTACAGACCCAATCATCTTTGACTTGGCTGGTTCAAACTTTTACTTTAATTTTTTCGATTGTTCATACAAAGTTACATTATTTTTAGGGTAAAAACTTTTTCTTACTATATTCATATGTTACATAAGTATTATTCTCGTACAAATTTATTAACAACAACATGCTTAATGAATACTATGATTATTGATTACTACTTGCTTATTTTGAATTTAATTTTTGATTATGGATGGATATTAACTTGTTTAAATTTGAATGAGTTATGAAATTTCTAATTCATAGATTTTGATGTTTCTTACAAAATATTTATTAGGGAAAATACAATTGTTGGTCTCTATACTATTAGCGTGTTTTCTCGTCATTAGTCTCTATATTTTATTTATTTATTTTTTTTTCTGTGTTGGTCCTAGTCCCTTAAGGCTGATCCATCTACAACTTTAGTCCTTATAGTTTTAAAAATGCCCATAAAGACCATAAACTACTTCCACTATCCTCCCCTTCACTATCACTACTCTCATTCTCCCAATCCATATTATACCTTGCAACAAATTAGAAAGCTCAATAATCCTTCTCAATAGAAAAACTCACTAGGACAAATCTCGTGTCAGCACAGACAAAAGCAACGCAATCACAAAGACAGAGCAATGAAGATGAACTCAAACAACACAATGATTGTGCCCAACAACACGAAGAAAAAATAAACTCTAACAAAAAGATTAACGAAAAATAACGATCAATGGTCATATTTAAAACAACAAGGATCAATGTTATAGATAGGTCAAGCTTAAGGTACTCAGAGCAAAAGGACAAAATTATAGAGACTAATAACAAAAACATGCTAAAAGTACAGAGACCAACCATTGTTTTTTTCCTATTTTCCTACTTATTATATATAACATCAAAATTTAAAATATATAAATTTAATTATGAATAGCTTTTATCATGTTCAAACCTAGTAACCCCAAGCAAGTGTCTTAATCAATCATGACAATTGTAGTTTTATAAACAATGGAATTGACCAAATAGTATCGTGGAGAAAATGGAAATTAAACACGGAAATAGTCAAATGAAAACACATACTTCATACAAAGATTAGATAGTATTTAATTATTCCAACTAAATTCTGGACATCATAATTGAACTGCAATGCTAAATACCTCGTATGAGCAAAAGTTTGACATTCCTTCTAGATCCTCTATCCACCACTGAATACACAATCAACTAGTTGGTCTAAGGCCATGTTTCCTTCGGAACATTCATCAGGAAAGGCGCTTCTCTATCACTTAATCACAAAATATAACAATAATAAGATAAGATAATAAATGTCCGAATTTTAAACAATCAACTAAGAAACAAAACTGCTTGGTTTAATTTGAAAAGAAACACATTCCAAGCTACATGCCTGTTTAAAAATTTGCATTCAAAATCAAAGACATGATAAGTGTGAGTGTTTGTAACTCATAATTCTTGCACAATGGAAAGTTTTGATCTCAATATTTTCTTTTTGTATATATTTAAAACTAACACATTTTTCCATAGAATGCATGGAATAAGGAGAGTGCAGATAAAAAAAGGAAGGGAATGTTTATTAAAGTAAAAACAAAAGAATACATCAAAATGCTTTCGTTCCCATTTCATTCTCCTTCATCCAAACCTACCATTAAGATATGGCCTTCCCTATACCAGTCAGAAGCCACATTTCCACTTTGTCTAAAAATTATGAACAGCAATACCCAATGATACCAGCATCAGTCATCCCCCATTTGGTATTTACAATTGAAAATAATATTGCCCCAGAAATTAAGATATACAAAGTCTACTATGTCCCTATTAATATTTCTCATTACCTTTTATTGGTTTTTTAACCTAAAAGTAAAGGTATCATTTTTCTCTATCTACAAAATCACTCTTTTCTATTCTAATTTTCTTTCCCTTTCATTTCCATTTTGTATACTAAACATTTCAATAACACAACAATTAGCATTTAGCACAGTGTCAGCGTCGTGACAGTCAAATTCCACTAGTAGCATCACCTTTACCATCTTATTGGCAGCATGCAAAGATAATACCACCACATATGTTCATCACCAGCAACATCTTCACCAAATTTGGAAAATCTAAATATGAAAGCAACTAGTTAAATTTACATATAAAAAAAGGGAGAATTACAGCTAACTCCCTCTCAAGAGAATTAATCATGGATAAAGACCAATGCAGAACAGAGTGTTGTTAAAATGCGGCACATGACTTATTTTTGCTTGAACAGGACTTGTTGTTTGTCCTTATCTGTGATTAATTTCTTTGAGAGTGGCTGACTGTAATTCTTAAAAAAAAAAAAAAAAGTAACTAGTGAAAAACGTTCATTTTCAATTTCAGTAAAACTCAGCGCCACCCTTTTTTATTCTAGAATTACAATACCAAACTATTAGTGACTAAAATAATGGGCAGTATGTCTCAAAGTTATTAAAAGAGCCCAAACTCTTCCTGATTAAAAATTCTATACAAAAATCTCTATAGATAGTACGTTATCGAATTATATATTAGGAAAGAATTTAAACATATCCTACTCAAAAGTTCAGAGAAAAATCAGCTTGGCATGCCAACATTAGCTTAAGAAATTTGCAGAACAAGTGACCAACCTTGCATTGGAAAATGAAAAAAATTGGGTCATATCAACTGCCAACTAAAACCTAAGTTTCATCCCTTGATCAGGATAGAAGGGAATCATACAACGCAAAACACTTGTTCTCTTTCAAACGTTAGGCTTGAACTAGAGTCTTTGTGCCCTTAGAAATGATAAATCTTCTGGACCCATTTAGGCAATTACACTACCTTGCAGTGTGCACATCCTAGTGTGAAAGCGGTAGGATGAGAATATAAAAATTTTAATTAAATGACCAATTATCCAAATACACAAACTTGAATAACGCAAAAGCTTGCTCCAAATTGCAAAGATAGTTAACATCTGGAAAGTTCCTCAAGGCAATAAATTCCAAGTCTCAATGTTTACAATTGGAGGTTCATTCTCACCATTTCCTTACAAAATTCTTCTTTTTTTAATTGATATGTCCACGGTTAACGTTGTGCGATTACGAACAAGTCAGATGAATCCAAACGTTAAAACATCCCAACATCCAGGAAGCGGATTATTTAAAAAAAAAAATTCTGATATAAAAACTATCATTGTCTGTCCTTAAAAAATTTTCATTCAAAGACTGCAAATTTTTATTTGGGTCAAAAAGACTGCACATATTGAATTGGTACGTTAAAACGAAAGAAAAGCTATTAAAAATCCCGGGGGGATGGCAAGAGACCGAAATCAAGTGATAAATAGCTGCAGAAAAAACATGCAGTAATGAATCCACTCAACCCTAACTAGTTGGTTTCAACCAAACACAGGTGAGTAAGTTTAAAAACCTCCTTTCAAGTAGAACGTAAAAAGAACAATCAAGAAACTGTTTATAATCAGTTTGTGTTTCTATAAAAACAAAACTTTAAAGAGAGGAGGAAAACAAAAGGAAATGAAAATGATAAACAATCAAATTAATCCGAAGTAGAACGCCATGAAAAGGAAAGGAAGATCTCTCACTCTCTTAACTGCAACCTCAATTCAGAAATTACAGAACCAGAACACAGAACTGATATTCACCACAGAAGAGAGAACAGCTTCAGCTATTTTGACCTCGCTCGAGTAGGGCGGGATTCCTCGGAGCTTCCAGAGCTTTCTTTCCTATCGGATCCAGCAAAAGCCTTCAGAATTTTTTTTTTATTTTTTTTTTTGGTTTAATATTTATATCTATATTTATTTGTTTTTTAAAAATTTATAAGGTATCACGGAGAGACTGACACGTGTGGAATAAGTCAAGACAAAACAAGGCAGATATCAGAATTCGTGGACGGGAGGGGGCGCTAAGATCCGATCAGTTTCTACGATATTATTGGTTCACGTATGAGCAGATGTTCCCTCGGAACACGTGTCCAGGGATCATTCGTCACCGAATGTATTTGCGTGGCGGGTTGCACTGTAAACCGAAATGTAAATGAAATGTTTATTAAAAAAAAAAAGCGATATATATAAAATTAATTGACGGTTGGTCTTTATTTTTCGGGAGAATTTTATTAAAGTTTTTTCTTTGGCTGTAACATAATTTCAATTGAAAGTAATAGAATTTTAAGATTTCATTGCAACTTTGGAGGATTAAAATGAAATAAAATTTTTTAGTTAAATGATTAAAATGCTTTTCTTATAATTAATATTATTAAAATAATAAGTTAAGTTGCTATTTTTACAAGTAATATTATTAGAATAATAATTTAGGTTATAATTTTTATAAGTAACATAACTAAATAATGAGTCAGGTTACAATTTTTATAAGTAATAATAGTAAAATAATAAGTTAACTTATGGTTTTTACAAATAACACTGTTATAATAACAATTAATTTAAACTAGATGCATAAACAATTCATATGAGAAAAATGAATAACTAATGTATCTAAAATAAAAACTTGTTATATGTAAAATTTACAATTCTCATTAACAATATAATATTATTATGGATTTATAACTTTCATTCCACCTACGTTTGTTCTTTATTTTTTCATATACCAGTTGTTTATTTTTCTTAAACAAGTTATTTATATGCCTAGCTTTACTTGTTTATTTTTATAATGATATTATAATATTAATAAGATTAATAAGAGTTACAATTTTATTTACATTAATTATTATTTTATACATTAATTATTTATTTCACCACGCATAATAAGATCATTTCAATCAATTTTTTAATATTATTTCAATTCCACATATGGGTAGTGAAATTTTATAATTTTAAAAGTTTGATTGCAATTAAGTTAGATGAAGGCAGCCTCGCTGAAATTTTCCCAACAATCAAACTAATCATATTTCTATTTTTTTATTTTTAGAAAATTGAGTTGTAAGTCCTTCTAGTTTTAATCTATTTTTTGAATTAAATCACGTACTTTATTTTATTTAATAAATTCCTTATAATTTAATCATTTAAATATTTTAATTCTTAAAAATAATTGATGATTGGTTAAATTCTCCAAAACAAAATTAATTTTAAAATTTATATAAAAATTATTTAATACTTTTACTTGAAAAAACAAAAAAAAAATACTACAACGTTAAAATTTTTCTTAATTTTTTGTAAAAATTATATATATAAAATTTATTTAGAAAATATAACTTAATTGTATAAATCTTGGGTTATAAAAATTATATAATTAATTCTAATATTATATAGAGCTTTAATAAACATATAAAAGTTTATATTTATATTTATTAAAAGGAAAAATTTAAGGATTTAATATTTAAAAATTAATATTTTTAATTAATCAAACTATAAGGGTTTGATTAAAATCAAATAAAAAAAATTAGAAGAATATGCAAATTAATTTGAAAATATAAATGATTTACAACATTGTTCACAAACAACATTACCATATGTATTGATAAAATAATGACTTAAGTACTGCTCAAAAAAATTTACAAAACTTTTGACTTTTTTTAAATTAATGAACTTATTTTAAGTATAATCTATATATCTATATATTTATATAAAAGTAGAACCGCAAGTAACATTTAATGATGATACAGATCTAATTATATTATTTATTTATTATTTTTAAAAATATATAAAATTTTTAAAAATAGATAAAACTACCTTACCTTCAAATATCTCCCCATTATCTCAATTAATCTTCAATTGAAGTATTTATATTAATTTTAAATTTAAAAAATAAATAAAAATATCTCACTTCAAATATTTTTACGTTATCCCAACTTCTTATTAACTTATATAAAATATAACTACAAGTAGCATTCTGAAAATGATGTGTCCCTTATACAATTTTGATTATTTATTTTTTAACTTTTAAATATAAATAAAACTACCTTCCCCAAATATCTATATAATATCCCAACTTCTTATTAATTAATTTATTATAATCTCAAAATTTCTAACTTTAAAAAAATAAAAATTATTTATACCTTTCTCGTCTCAAAAATCCCTCTATCGTTCAAATTTTATAACTTCTTACTCATAATTATCAATTTTAATTTTAAAATTTTCATTTTAAAAATTATTGAAAATTTGAGATTTTACTTGTGAACATTTGTTAAAACTACAACTAGATTTATATTTAAATTTTACAATATTAGTAGAACCATAAGCAGCATTCTCTAAATGACATGTGTTTTTGATGTAATTTTGCTTTATTTGATTTTAATTTTTAAATATAAATAAAACTACCTCACCTCTCTAATATCTCTCCATTACCTCAACTTCTCATTAATTTATTTATTTAGAAATTTTACTTTCTAATATAAAAGAATAATGAAATCATGTATATCCTCCTCATCTCCAAAAAAATCTATCTATTATCCAAACAGACCAACTTCTTGCCCATAATTTTAAATTTTAATTTAAAAAATTTTGATTTTTAAATTTTTTTGTTAGATTTTAATTTATATTTTAAAAATTTCATGAAATTACTCATAATTTAAAATTTAATTTTTCAAAATATTAGTATAATTTTAATTTGATTCTACTCATAATTTAAAATAAATATAAAACTACCTCACTTTTAAAAATCTCTACATTATTTCAACCTGTCAAGCCACATTAGTTTTAAATTTAAAGTTGAATTTAAATTTTTTAATTAATACTAATATGTCTAACATGGGTAGTGTAGTTATATGTGATAAGGTGGTTGCAGAATGAGATGTTAAATAGTGTTAGTTTTACCTAACATGGGTCAGTTGCACTAATTTTCACTTATTATGCAAATTATAAATTTATAACTATCATATTCATTTTATAACTCTTGCAGTTTGAAGGTTGTGGACTACATGCCTTTCTTTTTGTGACCATTGATGGAGACCAGCCATCTTCTATACGTTCAAAGGTAAAATTTTCTATTTAAATTCTCAAATTTCTCTCTCATTTTATCAAACAAGATTTGTTTTTTTACTTTCGATGATTTCGTTTTCCTGTGCAAGTAAAGTTTGTTCTGAGATCTCATCATCTATCATAAAGACTAAAATAAAGATGTCAAAGTCATAATTTCTCAAACTTATTGTGAATTTCCACCATTTTCCTTTAAAATTATGTGACAATTTCCTAATTATAGTTGTTGTTGATGCATTGAAGATGGAGATGAAGATGACAGAGAAAGTACTCAAGCTTTGCATCACATGAATGCATGTCCATCTTATTCTATAACTTTGGTTTTATTTCCATTCAACCATGAGTTTGAAGATCTGGACTTGGATCATATTATTCTTACAAACTTTATTCATATACTTATTTTGTCGATTTACATGTTATTTAAGTGATTGTTAGCTTTGTATTTTGGTCATTTAGATAGAAAAACAAATAAAATTTTTTGCATATTTTGCCACAAATGAAAATGAAGAAATGGATTTTTTATATTAGAAATATGTCTTTTTACTTTATTATCTCTATTTAAATTCATCTTTAAACATTGTTTGTTGTACTGATTCCTTCAAGTTATTTAAACATTAGTAAAAAATTATTTTCACATAATGACATTTTAGATTTTTAATTTTTTAATTATTATTATTTATTTAAATTATTTTTATTTTTTTAGATTTCGTGCATTGCACGGGCCACATACTAGCTTTATTATAACAATTGAAAAATGAATTTATAATGGAAAGAATGACATCAATATGAACATTAGTCAAGAATATTATTAGTCCGTCTTTTAATATTTTGCAGATGTATATGCAATTGTATCAATTTTATATTTTATTCATTTATAATTTAAAATATGTAAAGTTGTGAAATAAATTTATTCAATTTAATTTTAAGTGTTGTCATATATTAGACAGATTTAAATAATAAAATTTACTAAGTGAGCACAATTGTAAAAAGACAATAACATTATCTAGTATGGACGTCATGTGTTGCACAATTTTGAAAACCATACAAATGTAAGAGAAATTTTTTAAAATTTGATCTTAAACTAAAAATTAAAAAATAATTACATGATGAATTTTAAATAAAGATATATTCAAGAACTTGGATAATAATAATGAAATTGCGACATTAGACATATGAAACATTTGTTTGAGTACATCTTTAATTTAATATAAAATGAAGGGCAATTTTCAAGGGATATCAAAGTTTATTAGTTAGATTTTTTTTTACCAATAAAGTTTATTAGTTAGATTTGATTTCTTTGTTTGACACGAAACTTACTCCATTTGACACGCAAGTAATATGTAGTTTAAGAGCTTGACATGAAACTTTCTAGACAATTGTATTTAATATTTGTTATTGTCTGGTTTGAAAGAATTAGGTTTGCATTGGCAAAGGAAGTGTGACGTGGAAGTTCTTACATTGACAATATAGCAACTTTCAATGAGACAAATGACTCGAATGATCTCTGCTTTCCTTTTAATGACCTGACCTATTCGCTTTCAAAAAAGCTGTCTACCAGTTATTTAGGAGTTCTCTAGGAAGAGACGGAGCTTCAATCACAATAATCCAAAGAAAGTAAGATAGAGCTCTAAATGACTCAAGATGGTGCGAATAGCTTGATTTTCTCCATATGGGTAAGCAAATTCTAGACTCGAAGAGTTCAATCTTTATTAATCATGAGTGGATTTTCTCCATATGGATGTGAGAAGCTTTCTTTTCTCCATAAGGGTAAGCACATATGCCTATGAGAATCATACATGCAAGTCTTAGATTTCT